TTTTTTTTGAAGCTCTTACAACGAGAAAATGGAGGGGACACATCTGGGTAGGAGGGGGGAGAGGGAGGAGGGAGGGAGGTTTTGGTGATGGGACACAATAACTAACTACATTGTATATTGACAAAATAAAAATTAAAAAAAATTTAAAAAAAATTTTAAAAAAAGATTGAAAAAGAAATAAAAGGCATTCATATTGGAAAGGAACAAGTAAAATTATCCTGCTTGCAAATGACATGTTCCTATTATATAGAAAACTCCAAAGACTCCACCAAAAAAATTTAAATAATAAATGAATTCAATAGAGTTGCAGGATACAAAATTAACAGCCAAGAATGAGTTGCATTTCTGTACACTAATAATGAACGATATGGAAAGAAATTTTTTTAAAATTTCATTTACAATCTGTTTGCAGATGATATGATTTTATGTATAAGAAACCCTAAAGATTCCATGCCAAAAAAACTGTTAGAACTTATGAACAAATTTACCAAAGTTGCAGGATACAAAATGAGCACACAAGTCAGTTGTGTTTATATGCTAAGAGTGAACAATTTGAGAAAGAAAGAAAAAAAAAAGTTCCATTTATAACAGCATCAAAAAGAATAAAATACTTAGGCATAAATTTAACCATGGAGGCAAGAGACCTATATGCTGAAAACTAGAAAATATTACTGAAAGAGATTAAAGAAGACACAAATAAAAGGAAAGACGGCCAGTGGTAATGATTGGAAGACAATGTTGTTACTATTCAAAGTGATCTATAGATTCAATGCAATCCCTATCAAAATTCTAGCAGCATTTTTTCATCCAAAAATTCATATGGAATCTCAAGGGATTCCGAATTGCCAAAATGATCTTGAGAGAGAGCAAAGCTGTAGGCCTTACACTTCCTGATTTCAAAGCATTTTGCAAAGCAACAGTAATCAAAACAATGTGGTACTGGCATAAAAACAGACACAAAGACCAATGGAACAGAAAAGGAGCCCCAGAATAAACCCTCACACATATTGTCAAATGATCTTCAGTAAGGGTGCCAAGACCACTCAGTGAGAAGAGGTTATTCTCTTTAACAATGGAAAACTGAGTATCCACATGTAAAAGAAAGAAGTTGAACCCTTACTTTATACAATAGACAAAAAATAACTAAAAATGGATTCATGACTTGAATATAAGTCTTAAAACTAAAAAATTTCTAAAAGAAAACATAGGGGAAAATCTTCATGACATTCTATTTGGCAATGATTTCTTGGCTTTGACACCAAAAGCACAAGGCAACAAAAGCAAAAAAGACAAGACTACATCAAACTTGAAAACTTCTGTTCCTCAAAGGAAACAATCAACAGAGTAAAAGGGCAACTTTCAAAATGGAGAAACATAATTTACAAATCATATATCTGATATGGGATTAGCATCAACAACATCAACAACAATGACAAAATAACTTATTTAAAAATGAGCAAAGGGTTTGAATAGACATTTCTCCAAAGAAGATATGCAAATGTCAAACAAGCATATGAAGATACTCAACATCTCTAATCATTAGAGAAATGCAAAGCAAACCTACATTGAGATACCACCTCACACCTGTTAGAATGACCACCATAAAAAAAAAACAAAACCCTAAAAAACAGAAAATAACAAGTGCTACTAAGGATGTGGAGAAATTGGAACCCTTGTGCACTGTTGCTGGGAATGTAAAATGGTGCAGCTTTTATAGAAAACAGTATGGAGGTTCCTCAAAAAACTAAAAATGGGGCCGGCCCGGTGGCACACTGCTGTAGTGCGCCGCTTGGGAAGCGCGGTGGCGCTCCCCCCGAGGGTTCGGATCCCACGTACAGACCGGTTTCCGCTCACTGGCTGAGCGAGGCGCGGGAGCAACGCTGAGGGTTGCGATCCCGTTGCTGGTCCCGGTCCGGTACGGGGGCAACACTGAGGGTTGCGATCCGTTGCCGGACACGGAAAAAGACAAAAAAAAAAACAACTAAAAATGGAATTACCATATGATCCAACAATCCCATTTCTGGGTGTATATCCAAAAGTATTGAAAGCATGATTCAAAAGAAGTATTTGCACATCCGTGTTCATTGTGGCATCTTTTCCAATAGCCTAGAGGTGGAAGCAGCCCAAATGTCCATTGACAGATGAACAGATAAAGAAAATGTGGTATATACATATGTTGGAATATCATTCAGACTTCAGGAAAAAATAAGGGAATCCTGTCAATGGAGCCTTGAGGACAGTATGCTGAGTGAAATAAGCCAGTCACAAAAGGAAAAATACTGTATATAATACCACCAATGCGAAGTACCTAGAGTAGTCAAATATTACTTTTATCCTTTATTTATTAAGAAAGGCTACCTAGCTTGTTGTCATCCACAAGGTTGCTGGATAAAAAAAAGCTGAGCCATCTTATTTCTGATCTCGTTCTTTTCAACTATGTCATATTTAGGAATATTTAGGACAGTGACAAACCTCTGCCTTACGACTTTCCTAGTCATAAGTAGTCTAAGGATAAATTTGTTTTTAGTTCTCTCTCCTACTTTATCCTCATGGTTATATCCTACTTTAAAGCATCCAATTAAAAATACCAGAAAACATTAAGAAATACCAAAAGCAAAGACTTTCAGCTAAAATCGTGAGCTAAATTCTCTTCTTACCCCACATTGTGGCACACTCATTTTAGGACACCCCCAGCTAAAAAATTTAGTAACCTGCTTCACCTGGTGTAGAAGCAAGAATCAGTTTGGCCTAGTAATCACAGTGTCAGCTTAATTCTTACCTCCCAGAGATCCTGCTGTGTCCTCAACTAATAAGTAATAAACAATCCATTCGCCTTTGAATAAACTAGTTAGTTTTTGTTTGTTCATTCATTCAGTCATCAGATATGTAATGAATAATGCCGTGAATATGCTTTAAACGTTATTTATTTATAAAGAACTTGCCTGGAAGATAATCTTATTAGTAATAACAGTAATGATAACTAATACTTAATAAGAGTAGTTGGCCCTGTTCTAAGTACCTTATAAAGTTGGCCCCCTGTATTTGCTAGTTCCTCATCCTCGGCTTCAACGAACTACAGATGGGAAATATTTGAAAAAATAAAAATAAAAAATACAAATTTTTAAAACAATACAGTATAACAACAATTTACATAGCATTTACATTGTATAGGTATAAGTAATCTAGAAATGATTTAAAGTTTATGGGAGCATGTGTATAGGTTATATGCAAATACCATGCTACTTTATTTCAGGGACTTGAACATCTTTGGAATTTGGTGTCTGCAGGGGGTCATGGAACTAATCCAGTGAGGATACCGAGGGACAAATGTGTATCTTACATTTGTCTTGTTTTTCCACCACAGAATTTATACTAAGCACCCTTTGGTTTATTGCCTCTTTGTTTCTTAAGCAGCAACAGAAAGCACAGAAAAATTGCTGTGGTATTACTGAAGGGTAGAACATACATCCTATATCAGCAGCTTACATGATATATGCAACCTGGAAATTTGCTGGAATGAAGATGGCATGGTGGAGCACTGTGCTTTCTAAAGAATGAGGATAAAGGATTAACCACATGAGTAACTGGTATTTTCAGGGAGTTTTTTAGAGCATCACTGATTATTTTTGCTATTAACTTATGTGCAACTACTTTTCCTTTCTTCTCTTTCTCTCCACTCCCATTAAGAATTTTAATTTATTTCAAATTTAAAAGATTGCCATGGCTCTAAGAATAAGAATGTGATTTGTAATTCTTCTCTTTGATTTAAAGAAATATTATTAAAAATCATATACTTTTTTAGGTAACTGAATGTGAGATATTTCTGTCACTTCTGGTGAAATTTCTGGATGCAGATAAACCACAGTGGTTACGAGCTGTTGCAGTGGAATCAATACACAGACTCTGTGTGCAGCCTCAGCTATTAAGGTAAAACCTCAACAATATTTTTTTAAATGGATAGGTTAATGTTTATTAACCTATAGTAGGTTAATAGTAGGAAGAGTTTAAGTATTTATTCAAAAGTATTAGTGATTTCTAAACAAAAAAATTGTATATTGTGTGTATATGGAGGGGCAAAAGTATAGGTTGGGAAAGAACTGAGAGGTGGGCAAAATGTGTGGTTAGTGATCACTATCAATCTGAGTTTACGAAGTCAATATAGCCAAGATAGTTTTTTTTAGAACTTTGACCTTAATCTGAACCTTTGTCCTAAAAATTAGTGAAATCACTCAGATGTGATGAAGAATTTTTTAGTATAGTATTGAAACTATTATTGCAATATCACTTACTATAAAAAAATGTTAAAAATTTTTAATACATTCAAATGTTTTTTTTCAGAAACATTTAAAATTATTTTTCAGGTCATTTTGTCAATCCTATGACATGAAACAGCATTCAACCAAGGTTTTTCGTGATATTGTGAATGCACTGGGATCTTTTATCCAGTCCTTGTTTCTTGTCCCTCCTACTGGAAGTCCTGCTACAACGAACCAAGCTGGTAAAGGCATATTCATATTTTGTTTTTAATCTGCCATAATTTAAAATATTCTTTATTATGGAAGGATATTTTATAGAAATCTTGTGACTAGAGACATTTGAATTACCTAAATATACTGATAGTAAAGATTTACACTTAAAAAATAATTTGATCTCACCGAGGCAACTGTGTTTATTTCTTTCCAGAATAGGTTTTCTTCTCTTTTATACTTTCAGTTTCTCTAATCACATAAGAACCAAAGTTTAGATGCTAATCTTGATTTTAGAAGAATCTTCATTTGATGTCTCTCTTTAAAGAACCTAGATGGTTACTATCTTAGGAGATATTTTAGACTTTTAACAAAAGGGGCTAACATGGTTTATGTTTGTTTGGAATCATATATGGCTTGTTTCCCTTCTTCTTCCACTTTGTACTGTGGGATTGATGGTCTTTTTATTCTTCATTCCTACCTCTGATAAAAAGTGGTCTAACAAAAGATATCATTAAAAAAAAAAGGCCAGTATTTTTACTTTAGTAGCTTTTATATTAAAAAGAAAGTGATGTTTTGGGGAAACAGGGAGACTAATAGTCAAAATGGGATTGACGAGTTTCATTTATTTGTGTAATACTGATTCTGATAACACAGAAAAATTTTTAAAAGATTGACCAGATGTTTGAATGTTATTGATTTGTAATCAAGTAGTAAATTGGTATCTTTGCTTTTTTCTTTCTTATCTAATAGGAAACAATAATTCAGGTGGCCCAGTCTCAGCACCAGCTAACTCAGGAATGGTTGGGATTGGTGGAGGTGTTACTTTGCTACCAGCATTTGAATATAGAGGAACTTGGATACCTATTCTGACTATAACAGTTCAAGGCAGTGCTAAAGCCACCTAGTAAGTAGTAGCGGCATTGTTTTATAAGGAATGATATTGTTGGAGATGATATTTGATCATAAAATACTTCTCTCTGCGTTACATTTAAAATTTTAGACCCAGTATTTCTAATGCATATCAGAGCTCTTTTTTTTTTTTTTTTTTTTTTTTTTCTTTTTTTGAAATTTTTTTTTGGGGTGGGTTTTTTTTTTTTTTTTTTTTTTTTAATTTTTTTTTTTTTTTTTTTTGGTCATATTTTGAGAATTTTGTCTAGGACTGGATTTTATTTGTTTTCTTTTGTGCTCTTTGTAGACTGTCAACAGCGTTATAAAAGCAAAATGTGATTTCTTTACCTAAGGATCTATTCAGCTGTCCTGGACAGCTTTTTGGTTTAAGTATATGGCTTGGTTTTAGATCCCTTGGACTTAGGTCTTCTTATATTAACTGAGTTACCATCAGCGAATTAGTTAATCTTCTTCTTTTTTTTTTCCTTTTTGTCTTTTTTTACTGACCGGTAACGGGATCGCAACCCTCGGTGTCGCGCCCGTACCGGACCAGGACCGGCAACGGGGTCGCAACCCTCGGTGTTGCGCCCGCACCGCGCTCAGCCAGTGAGCAGGAACCGTTCTCTACGTGGGATCTGAACCCTCGGCGGGAGTGCCGCCACACTCCCAAGCGGCGCACTCTCCAGTGCGCCACTGGGCCGGCCCTAGTTAATCTTCTTTTAACCTTATTTCTCTCATCTATAAAATGGGAGTAGTGATGTATCTAACTTTCAAGGTTCTATATGTGAGAAAAGCTTTTTAAGTGTTTAGCTAATCACATCGTTCTGGTTTAACACATGGAAATTTTCATTTTTGACTAATTAAAAGTGTTTAATGGATTCTATATCTGTTGTTTTTGAATTGTCATCAGCATTTCAACTTAACAAGTACATATTCAGCAATGTCTTGCCGATTTTTCTTAAGTCAGTGAAATACAGTGCTTATAGAAACAAAGCAATTAATACTACATGGGTTAAACATAGCTATGGTTACAGTTACTTCATTCGATTTTATGGCTGAATAATATTCCAATGTATGGATATACCACATTTTGTTTTTCTCTTCATCAAATTGATGCACACTGGGTTGTTTTAACTTTTTGGTTATTATGATTAATGCTGCTATGAGCATTTCTCTACAAGTTTTTGGGTAGACATGTGTTTTTATTTCTCTTGGGTATGTATCTAGGAGTGGAATTGCTGGCTCATATGGTCACTCTATGTTTAACTTTTTGAAGAACTACTGAACTGTTTTCCCAAACAATTGTATTGTTTTACATTCTCACCAGCAATGTGTGAGGGTTCAAATTTCTTCACATCTTAGCAATACTTGTCCTTGTTCATCTTTTTTATTGTAGCCTTTCTAGTGAGTATAGTTATATCTTATTGTGTTTTGATTTGCATTTCCCTAATGACTGATGATGCTGAGTATTTATTCATGTTCTTATTGACCATTTGTATGTCATCTTGGGGAAAATGTCTGTTCAACCCTTTATTCCTTTTTATTTTTATTTTTTTAAATTTGTTTTTTGTTTGTTTTATCCTGTATTTTAGTTGAAGTCTGTCTCTTGGCATTTTTAAAAATTTTAATTTATTTTTTTCATCGCTTTTGCTCCTTTTTAATTGGGTTGACTTTTTATTATTCAGTTGTAAGAGTTCTGGATGCTAGTCCCTTGTCAGATACATGATTTGCAAAAATTTTCTCCTGTTCTTAGTCATCTTTTCATTTTCTTGATACTGCCCTTTGAAGCATAATAGTTTTTGAAGCACAATCAGAACAGTAAGATTTACAGTCAACATAAATAATCTATTATTTCTCTTGTTGCTTGTGCTTTTGGTTTCATATCTAACAAACCATTGTCTAATCTGAGGTCATGGATATTTTTGCCTATATTCTTCTAAGAGTTACATAGTTTTTGCTCTTCCATTTAGATTATTGATTCATTTTGAGTTAATTTTGTATACAGTATGAAGGTAAGGATCCAACATCACTCTTTTGCATGTGAGTATCAGTTGTCCCAGAACCATTAGTTCTTTCCCCTTTGAGTTATTCTTTCTCTGCAAAATTATCTTGATAACAGTTTTAAGGGATTTAGAATCATACTTGTAATTTCCTATTTGCCATGATTTAAGACAGAAGATTTGTTGTCTTTCCTTTTGAAAGCTCTCTCCTAATTATGGGGTAGAAACTGCTCAGCAATTTCAACTTGACACACTGATTCTCTAAATAGCATTCATATCCTGTTGTCAGATTGTATCTGAGATGATAGATGAGCTAGGTATCCCTCAGTTATACTTTTCTCCAATATGAAAGCATCTTCCTCTTTATAGGATTGATCTGATTTTATAGCATCTTATTTTGAAAGCACCTAAGTCAGAGTTTGAAAAGTTTATAATTTATGTTGTCTTATTATGTTTTGTATATAAGTCTTTGTTTTTCTAATATCAACAATTAATGAAAATATTGGTACAATTGGGGAGAATTAAGAAGTAAATTACTAAAATAATTAGTTATGGCGGTGGTCAGGCTTTAATTTTTCTGATCAGTTTCTTAGAATACCACGAAGGCATCCCTCCTCCAAATGAAACAAACTCATTAATGTCCCTTTACTTGCTCTTCTGTTCATCTTAATTTCTACAGCCTACAAATTATGAAAAGAGGTTTATATATTCTCATTATTGTGACGTCTCATTAGTGTTCTGATTTTTTCATGATTTCAGCCTAGAGATGTTAGACAAAGTTGAGCCGCCAACTATACCAGAAGGTTATGCCATGTCTGTGGCATTCCATTGCTTGCTAGACCTTGTTCGTGGAATCACTAGTATGATTGAAGGAGAGTTAGGAGAGGTTGAAACAGAGTGTCAGACTACCACTGAAGGAGCTTCTTCACCAACACAGTCATCAGAACAGCAAGATTTACAGTCAACATCAGACCAAATGGATAAGGAAATAGGTATGATAGTATGATTCTATACTTTTAATTTTTATTTTGAATTAACTTGAAATTTATGGAGAATTTGCAAAAATAGAGTCCCCATATATATTTTGCCTTGATTTCCCAATTATTAACACTTTACCATATTTACCTTACTGTTCTCTTTATTTATATGCATGTCACTATACTTTCTTCTGAACTATTTGAGAATAAGTTGCAGACATGATGTCCCATTATCGCTTACTACTTCAGTGTGGTTTTTTTTATAAAAACAAGGATAGTTTCATGTGTACCACAGTACAGTCACCATCAGAAATTTGGTATCAATCCAATATTATCACCTGATCCCAAATCCCATTCAAATTTCACCAGTTGCTCCAGTGATGTCCTTTATGGTCCAGTATAATTTCTCTATACTTTTGTTCAATCTGGAACACTTCCTTAGTTTTTCCTTATGACCTTGACATTTTTGAATAGTACGTATCAGTCAATTTAAGTTTGTGTTATATTCTTTCATAATTAGATTCAGTTTATTCATTTTTGGCAGGACTAGCACAGAAATGTTGCGGTGGTATATTTAGTGTATCAACACATTAGGAAGCATACAATATCAATTTGTATTATTATTGGAAATGTTCACTTTTATTATTTGGTTAATATGAGGCCAGCCTGGGTTCTTCAGTGTAAAGTTAATTACTAACTTTTTGTGGAGAATTAATTTGAGATCTCTACTATAAAACAATGCTTTCTCTTTCTCTCCATTTATTTTTTAAAAATTTATTCAATTATATTAGTATGGATTCCTATATTATTAAAAGGATTATGACCTGCGACTATCATTATTTGGTTTGATACTCAGATTGTCCCTGACACAGCCAGTGGAATCCCTTTCATGCTGACCCCTGTGTTCATTTGACATGTCCCCATGTCCTCTTGACATTCTCTTTACTATTTGATACAAGATGTTCCAAGCTGATGTTGGATGTTTGTTGTTCAGCCCAGCTCTCAGTCATTTTTCCAAGGAGTCCTGGTTCCTTTTAGTGGAGAATAGTATTTAGAAACTAACACGTGGGCACCAGGTATGCTTCTTGTTACTTGGATAGGAAATACATACACTCATGTGCGCATGCACATGCACACAAGCATACATCTCCTACATTTAAAAAATATCTATCTGTATTAAATGTCATGACCTCACACCAATTTCTCCTATTTTAGTGTAATACCACAGTTTTAGCTTTCCATATTTGTAATTCCCTTCCCCAACAGTGAGGGACCTGATTCCATTTTGCTCAATATATTCATTTGCTTGGTTCCCAATGTATGTAACCAATCTCCTGACTGAGCCAGCTTATTAGACTGCACCCTGCCCTCACTCCCAGCTGGTCACACGGGCCGAAAGTTTGGCTTGATGAAAGGGAAGGGAATAGCAACTGATATATGTATTTTTAAAAAAGATATCATCTGTTAACTTGTGTACAGCAAGATCTTACCATAGATATTTTTTGTTTTGTTTTGTTTTGTTAACTTCTCAATATACATTGTAGTTGATTTTCGTGTCTCTTTACCCCTTCCTCTTTTCCTCCGCCCTTTCTCCCCCCCCCAACTACATCATATCTGTTTTCTTGTCTTAACAAGTTCAAGGAATTGTTGTTATTGTTGTGTCTTCTTCCCCCATCCCAACCATTTATTTGTTTGTGTATTTATTTATTTATTTTTAGCTTCCACAAATAAGTGAGAACATGTGGTATTTCTCTTTCTGTGCCTGACTTGTTTATTTATTATAATACCATAGATATTTTTAAACAATGTAGTTTTAAGACTTCTTGAAGTCTGAAATTACCATATGGCTTCCAAGTTTTCATTTGTTCAGATAGATTTTAAATATTAGAGCTTTAGTATTTAATAATTGAGTTATTGATACTATTTCTATACTTGACATATTTTCAAATGGCCTGGGAGATTTTAGAATTTGACATATTGTTAAATATTATGACATCTATAATTATCGTTGACTGTTGTATGTTTTTTTTCTCTTTAAGTTAGTAGAGCTGTTTGGGAAGAAATGGTGAATGCCTGCTGGTGTGGTCTTCTTGCTGCACTCTCACTCCTTCTTGATGCCAGGTATGTAGTCTTCGTAAGTTTTACATTGCATTGTGGCAGTTAAAAACAAAGCAGACATTCAAATGGTTTACTTAAATTTGACCGAAGAATTATTTCATAATATTATTTTTTATATGTGTAGAACTTTATTCTTTTTCTGCCATCTCCCTCCTTCATCCTATCCTTGCCCTGTCCCACACACCAGAATTGTTGTCACAGTGTTTGAAGGGAAAATACAATCTTAAAATGAGAGAGCACCTTTTTTATTTCAAGACCTACTACTACTTTTGCAATGATGATGATCATGTTCCATTTCTTTGAAGTTTTAAAATGCTTGATATTTTGTTAATTCTTGGTGATCTATATCATTTTTTTCAGTAATAAATATACATATGATACATTGCTTTTATCTAGTTTAAATTTCAAATATAAATTGGTTAAAATTCCTTCTTAAGTATATTGAGTTTAACAATATTTTGGGTAGATTTTCTTAAAACTTCACTGAATACACAATTCCACATCATGTTTTACAATGTGATTAAAAATAAATTAATCAGAATAAATAAAATACCTTATCTTTTCAGCACAGATGAAGCTGCTACTGAGAATATTTTAAAAGCTGAACTAACTATGGCTGCTCTTTGTGGAAGACTTGGCCTTGTAACTTCAAGAGATGCCTTTATAACTGCAATATGCAAAGGCTCCCTGCCTCCCCATTATGCTCTTACTGTATTGAATACCACCACTGCAGCTACACTTTCCAACAAATGTAAGACTTAAGCTTTCTCAAATTTCTGTCCATCTAGTGGGGTGACATGGTGTAGAGAAAAGATTATAGACATTCTGAGTTCAAGACTCTGCTGTTCCACTCACTGATTCTGTTGTTGGGGAAATTAATGTCCCTTAGCTTCAATTTCTTTCATCTCTTTAAAACAGTAGGATGAGGAGAATAATAATATCAATTTTAAGCAGTAATTGTGAGGATAAAATAAATCTGGAAGTTTTTTTGTAAGCTATAACATACTGTTAAAATGGTGGTTGTTATTTTTTCAGTAGAACTAATAGAACAGTAATGTTTGCAACCACTTAGGTTAAGCTAACATTCAAAAATTTATTTTCTTATTGAATACTTTGAAAACACTCAAGTTTGTTACATGCGATAGAAATATATTTTAACGTGATATTCAGTTTTCAAACTGAAAATGTATTGGTCTCTAACTGGAAAAGTATGCTGGGAATACATGTTTAAAACACTTAATGAGTACTAATTCTAATTTTGCTTTTGAAGAGATCTATCAAAGTTTTATAATTTTTACAAGTTATAGTCTTTACATTTTCTTGTCTTGGTTTGTGCACACCATGAGTTTTTAAAATGTTTACGTGTAGATAATATGTGTTATTGACATTTAAATAAGTGTTATGGTTGAACTTGGTTTAATCAAATTAATATTTTTAATTATAACTGCTTTGAATGTAATACAGAGAGTATATTTTAATTATTTAGGCTTTTCTTTGTGTTCTAGCATATTCCATTCAAGGCCAAAGTGTTATGATGATAAGTCCATCTAGTGAATCTCATCAGCAAGTTGTGGCGGTGGGTCAACCTCTAGCAGTCCAGCCCCAAGGGACAGTAATGGTAATCTTTTTATTTTTTGATTACCAAGTAGCTGTCAAGGAAACCTGTTTTACTTTTTCTTTGTGTTTGCCAAAATTTATCATTACACTTACTTTCTTTCACCTGGATGTTATCATTAGGAGAAACTAGTTAAGTATGCAGTGGCTGTTATTGTAACCAATATGATAGCACAACTTTTAATCAAATGAATTTGTTCATTACAAAACCATCCAGACTTATGTTCTTAATATTTTTGTTTTTATTTAAAAAAAATCTTTGAATATATTAATACGGCTTTATAAGCTTTTAATTTTCAAGAATGCGTAACAGTTCTTACAAATATATCCTGTTTTAATATAGCTAACTTCCAAAAATATCCAGTGTATGAGGACCTTACTTAACTTGGCACACTGCCATGGGGCTGTTCTTGGAACATCATGGCAACTTGTCCTGGCAACTCTTCAGGTATGCCATAGTGTCTAGATCAGAGATCAATGTTGTTTTTTGTATGTAGCAGCTGACAGTTAAACTAAGCAATGCTTAGTTGGTACTTTGGGCAGGCCTAAGGAATAGACAGGAAGTATGAAAAAAAAAAGAAGTTGGAAAGGGAAAAAAAAAGACATGGCCTAAATTCTACTGTCTATGCTGGTATTACTATTTTATATGAATGTTAATTACTGATTTTAATTTTACTTATTAGAAACCTACTAGTGATTTTAATTTTACTTATTAGAATTTTTATAGATTTATAAATTTCCTTGTGTTTATTTATTTATTTTTTAATTTTACAGCATCTTGTGTGGATTCTTGGATTAAAGCCTAGTAGTGGTGGTGCCTTGAAACCTGGGAGAGCTGTAGAAGGACCCAGCACAGTAAGCTCAAGGCTTTCTTACCCAATTAGTGCTTCCCCAAATGTCATATGTTACACTTAATTTTATTCTTTTCTTAGGTTCTAACAACAGCAGTGATGACAGATTTACCAGTGATTTCCAATATACTTTCAAGATTGTTTGAAAGCTCACAGTAAGAGTCAGTTTTTAAATTGATGGAAACATTGTTATTAGCCATATATTTTAAATCAAAATATCTTATTTCTTCATTTTTATTTTAGGTATCTTGATGATGTGTCATTACATCATTTAATAAATGCTCTTTGCTCCTTATCTCTAGAAGCAATGGATATGGCCTATGGAAATAATAAGGTGTGATATTTTATCTTTCTGTTTTAAATATGGTACATTATTATAAAAGGTACACATCCATTATGATCTTAATGTTTTACTAGTAAGACCAATACTCAGCTTATATACGCTAACCATACAGGGTTGGGTTTTTACTATTTAAGGTTGTTATTTATTAAAGAGGGAGAAAAGAGGACATGATTTGGCTTGTGATATATCTAAAGATTTTAAATTGTGTCCATTTCTCTTGTGTACTGAATATTTTAAAAAATACGAAAAGCACAACATAATTTTTATAAATAAGTTTCATGAAATGTCATAGTAATACTTGTAATTACAATTTATGATTGGAGTAATACAAGATTTAAATTAAGGAATATATGTCTTAGTTTCTTTTGCCTTCTTTGAGATATCGAGATGGAAAATAAGGAGCTAATCATTTCTTTCTGAAGATAATGATTCTTACCTTGACAATGAAAATTTTTCTTTGTTCATTGATTAAATAAATAGAACAGTACTTTTGAATATTGACAATCAAAAACATTTTTTTCTATACTCAGAATATCATTTTCTATTATACTTGGAAAGCACAGGAAAATTTGGGTTCATGTGTATCTTAGAAATAATTATTTAAAATAAAATGCCTTCTACATTTTAAAATGAATAATTATAGTTTGACCATTTACAAATAAGTGAAGACATCCCAGAATATGACTTAAAAGCTATAATTTATTTAACATCTAACTGTAGAATCCAAAATTGTGTTGTGTGCCTTGTCCGTAATTATAATTTTGTGTACTGAGGCATGTCATCTTGGCTCATGTGACTGACTTGTTTAAAGATTAACGAAGAAAGTCTTATCAGGGCATAGTTTCATATATTATAGCACCTATCTAGATAATTATATAAACATTTAGGTGTTTGGAAATATGTATTATAGCTTGCTCCAAATCAAAGCAAAGATTATGTAAAATTTAGTGAAGTAATTAATTTCTTGATATCTTGAATAATCCTACGTGTTTGATATTAATTCTTAACACAAAGATATAACATTTTTAATAGAATATCTTAATAAAATGTAAGTAAGCTTATATGTTTATGTCTTGAGAGTTTATATATTCACTCAGCAAACACAGTATGCTTACTATGTACATGACACTCTACTAGGAGTTAATAAAGGAAATACGAGTTTTCTACTTTTAACGAGCATGTAAACTACTTGGTTCATGGTTAAGTTCCAACTAAGATAGTATGAGATTCTAAATAAATAGTATGGATATTAAGTGATATGAGACATTCTCTGAATTCTTAGTTTCCTGTTACATGTTGTTAGTACATATTTCTATTAAGATGAATTAAGATTAATAAAGATGAACTAGTGTGATTGGAGCTAGATATTGAAGGAATGGTAGGATTTAGGTAGCAAAGGGCAAGCTCCCAGAAATCAAAAGAGAGAAATGTTATAAGAAATCACAATTAATGAAAGAAAAATAGGAGATTTGATTAATAGTTCATTGTTAACCTCGAAGAGAACAATTTCAAGAGAGTAGTAGGAGCAGATGTGATTTTTAAGGTGGGCTTGGAGGGAACAAATATTGAGAAAATGGATGCAGTGAAATGGAGATAATTTCCTTGAGAATAGATTCATATGTCTCCATTTTAGGATTTTATTTCATGAAGTGAAGTGTTAAGTATGGAACGGAAATAAAATATTTAAATAAGTCAGGCACAGAAAGACAAATACTGAATGGTCTCATATATATGTGGAATCTTAAAAAAAAAAAGTGGTTCTCATAGAAGTAGGGAGTTGAATAATGATTACAAGAGGCTGCGGGGTGGGAGGGGGTGGTGGACTAATGGCTACAAAACTATGCTATCTACCCTAAGTGATTCTTTGTGCAGTATATGCATGTGTTGAAATGCACTGTACCTCACAAAAATAAATATAAACAAAATTGAAAAAAAATTTGTGTAAACTTTATAAAAGTATTTAATATAAACCTTATAAAAATATTTTTAGATGTAGGCTATAAAAAGTTTATTATTCATTTGTGCCTTCCATAAAAAGTATTATAAATATGCAGATATTAAAATAAATAGAAAATTTTATACATTATTTTTCTATATTACTAAAAAGACAAGATTTATCAATGTCAGCTGTTCTGTGTGAATTAGATATTCTAGGGATTAAAGATATATATATATCAGTGTTCTTCAGGTGTGGCTTCAAAGTGATCAGCATCCTATTTTTGGTCCTCATTTCAGGAATTTGTGCTAATGTGTTGAGGAAGCAACCAGTGGTAAAGCTTGTAAACGGTTACCTAAAAGAAGGTGATGCTGATGATACTCGTGCAGGCATATTACCAAACTCAGGATAACAACAAAAATATTAAAGCAGCTGTTGCTTATTAAGTGTTTACTGTATGTCAGGCACTAGCTCACATTAGTGTATTTAATCATTTAAAACAACTCTGTGAGTTCAATGGTAGTATTTTCTTTTTACAGATGAAAATATGAAAATAGGGGGGTCGACCCCGTGGCTCACTCAGGAGAGTGGGGTGTTGTGAGCGCAGCGGCGCTAGGAGCGCCGAGGCCGCGGGTTCAGATCCTATATAGGGATGGCCAGTGCGTTCACTGGCTGAGCGTGGTGCGGGCGACACCAAGCCAAGGGTTACGATCCCCTTACCGGTCACCAAAAAAAAAAAAAATGAAAATAGGGAACTTAAACCCTGACCAAGGTCACCTACTTAGTAATTGGTAGACCCTGGATTTAAACCCACATATGTCTGATTCCAACATTCCTTTCTTAACCACTTTGGTAGTGGCTCTAACTTTTGGTGTACATAAAGTCAGCTATGGAGTTTCTAAACAATACAAATTCTTGGGCCACCTTCTAGGCTTCCTGAATGAGAATCTTCAGGTGCGAGGTCAGGGCATCTATACATTCATTTAAATGCTACACATGATTCCCGTATACACCCCGGTTAAAATAAGAAGGAGGAGTAGGAAAAGGAGGAAGAAGTAATGCTAGGCAACATTTGGGGGGTACTTATTATGTGCCAGGCACTTTCAACATGAGGTAGTTTTTATACTATTATCTCCATTTTACAGATTAAAAAAAAAAAAGAAACGTTCAGTAGAAGTATTACCCAAATTACATAGTTATTAAATAGTAGAATCAAGATGAAATCTCAGACAGTTAAAACTTCAGACATGAGTCTTAGTCACTATGCCATATTGTCTCTAGAGTCACTAATTTTTCTACCACCAAAATTTTAGGGAGCCTCCAATATTAGCACATGTAGGAAGGGGGGACCTGGCTATGTTTGTCTTAAAACCCCAGTGTACTTGGTCCACTGGCTTCTATTAGGAAAGAAAGATACTATCAAACATTTTTGTATTAGATTTTTATCAGCACTGTGAAAATGTTAAGATATAGAATAATAAAAAAAACTCTCCCTTTAAAATTTCTAGGATTATTCTCAAAATTTGCTTTTTTTTTTCTTCCCCAGTTGCCTTGTCTTTTCTCTTACGTAATGTCTCTGTGATACCACAGCCACCCACTAGAAAATACTCATGGCTTTCATCAGCCGAATTTGTATTTAAGCATGTTTTTACCACCTCCATTAATACTGGATTAGAGATAGTTGGCCTTTGATCTTTCCTGAAACTGTTCTTGTGACAGCCCAAGTACTCTAATTTAGCCATGCTAACAACTGTAGAAAACTGTTTTGTCTTTGTCTCTTCTACTCTTCTGTTAGTCTCTGAAACTGATAGCCCTGATCTCTGCCATACTCTTGACTCTATATTTCTTTTCCCTGGTCTCTATTGTTTCCTTCCCCCCCCACCCCCCCACCATATTTTCTGGCATTCTCACATAAAGCCTGGACATTTCAAAACTTCTCTAGTAAGAATGCTGCTTTTTTCCCAGTCAGAAGACTAGCTATTCTGTGTGTCTTAATATAATTTTTGAATTTTCACCCTTTCCCTATTAAAGCCTTCTCATCCTAACCAAATTTTCAAATTGGAAGCTATTCTGGATACTTAAGGGGACCAGAAAGGCTTGTCTAATGATACCTGAAGTTTTATTATATTTATTGCTAACTTTATGCTGACTAATGATATTTTAATTATATTCATGTTTTTAGAGTATTCTTAGTTTTATTCACAGCCAAAGTACTCAAAATTCTCCTTATAGTATCAAAATGCAATATATTTTCTCTCTAGGAACCATCTCTTTTTGCTGTTGCCAAATTGTTAGAAACGGGTCTGGTTAATATGCACCGAATAGAAATTTTATGGAGGCCTCTAACTGGCCATCTACTTGAGGTAAACTCCCTTTCATACATAATATGTTTAATTTTTATTAATGAAGACATGCATATTGAACTAATGATTCAGATAACCATTTGAGAAATCAGCATTAACTGTCTTTTTCTTTCCTGACCCTTTTTGTATATCTGTATATTTTATCAAGGACTAATGTTTTATAGTAATTGATTTTGGGAAGGAATAGTTGCTCTTACTGGTTGAAAATCAGTGAAAAAAATTTTTTTATAATACAGAATAGTGTTTTATTAATTATAATGGAAAATAAAATTGTCATAATGTAGGGGACATTCGTTACCCTCTATCCCTTTTATCCTGGTTTGGTAAAAGCAATTCAGTCTTCCTTTGGAAACTTAAACTTCCTAAATAGTTAATTGAATGAGATGGAACCAAGACTTTCATAATTGGACACATAACCCAAGACAGAGGAAGATGTCTTCAATCCTGGAACTTTTTCTGAAACTGTCAGGAAAGAGATGCTAGCTGGTAGGATGTAAACTGCAGGTGTCAGAAGACATTTTGCTACCACAAGGAGAAAGCTGCTTGAGAGGAGGCCAATATAGATAAAAGCAGAGCCTAAGAATAGAGATCAAGTTCTGATGACTTCTTTTGCGTGATTGCACTCATTAAAATTGGTGAAATTTTACAGTGAGAAATATTAATGAAATCAGCCATAGCTTGAGACCCCTTTCTTTTAATGTACAGTTTATAATAAAAGAGAATTTATCTTTAATTCACTTCAGCTTCAGGTAATTCTGAAACTTCAAGGCAATTGTGGTGGAGAAATAGTAGTAAACACTGCTCATGTACAGCCTTTGCTGTGATTATGAGATAGCTTTTCTACAAAGGGAAAAACCTGTTTGGTGTCATTAATTATAGATAGTGCAGGGGAATTTTATCTGGATTTATATTATCTTGTATTCACGTTGGGGTCATTCTTAATAATTAACTGCTGCTTAATAAATAGCTGCTCTGTTAGTATATATGTCTGTGTACTTTTTAGGTTTCGGTCACCATGGTGGTTTTATGTTATTTTAGGAATCTGAGAAAAATATTACTCATTAAGAAAAACAGATGTACCTGAGCCTTTTTTTTTTCTATTTTATTGAGATTATTTTTATGAATGATTGAAGGATATATTCAGATTTCTTTATTATTGGGCAATCTCATCAAATGGGAACAAATAAAGTTTTAAATTTTAGCTCAGTATTTGATTATGAGAGTAAACTTAATTAAGAACCTTAGCATCACTTGCTTCTTTTGTTTATACTCTGATGACATATGATTTACTTTTATGAAATCCTTTCATTTTTGTGACTTGTTTTAGTTTCATCTTTTTTCTTCTGTCTCTCTATTGCTTCCTCTTGCCCTTATTCAGAAGGTAAGCTTACTTATATTTTGGATATAATTTTTCTTCCAATCTTTATTGTACATTTGATATAATTTTTAAAACATGAAAAGAACAGAAAGTGGAATGTTTTAATTTTTCTTTTCTTAAATTGATATGTGATTTATTTAAGTATACAAATTAAATATTTGATTTTTGTTCAATATGTGTACTTTAGGTCTGCCAGCATCCAAACTCTCGAATGAGAGAGTGGGGAGCAGAAGCTTTAACTTCACTTATTAAAGCTGGATTAACATTTAACCATGATCCTCCACTTTCACAAAACCAGGTAATAAAAACTTATCTCGTTTTTTTAAAAAGAATACTTAATATAAAATCATCCTCTCCTATATGTAAGTTTTTTCTTAATTTGACAAATCGATTATATCCTAATAGTGGATATTTTTACTTAATATTCTATTTTATATATAGGCCATGGATCTCTTACAGAAGATAAGAAATTTTTAGGATTGTCTTCATAAAAAATTTTAAACACCTTGTAAAAGACACTGAACTAAGTTAATAAATTACCTAGAATTGCTCTCCCAGTCTATAATTTTCCCTCTTCATGCAGAGCTAAGGCTTCATTTTAGTGCCTCTTTTGCTTTGGTCCTTACCTGTCTTCTGATTTTTTTTCCCTCAGTACAGTTACCTGGAGAGAAAACAAGTGGCAGAAGAAGGAAGCACAATAAAATAGATTTGTATTTTTAAATAATCCTAAGTTATTTTACACTTCTAGTGTTTACTTTTGTCATGAATTTTTTGTCCTGATTCTTTTTATCATTTGCATATATCTTACACTGTTTTTAAAAAGTTCAGCAAAGTTTTATTGTTTCAAGACTTGAGTAGGAATGAGGCATTTAACAACCATTCCCACTGCCCTCATCATCTTCTTGTATTGTAATTCTACAAATTTACTCAACACATAATTATTGAGTATAGCTTTTGGAATACAATGATGAATAAGGTAGAAGGGATCTGTAGTCTTACAGAGCTTACATTTTAGTGATTTCATATTTTTTTCTACTACAATTTGAATTTTTTGAAAAGAAAACCCTTGTCCATTTATTTTAATACCCTTAATGTCCAGCTTAATACCTGGCACATAGTGGGAGTTTAATAAACGTTTATTTAATCAGTATACTGAGTAAATGAGTCCTTGGAGAGAAGAAAGTTTAAAATGAAGCAAGTGCTTTCAGATGCTGAAAGGAATAGAACAGAGTGCTTTTTTTTACTCTCCAATAAACTTCCTGGTTTTATGTCATCTTTGTTAATGACTGTCATACTTGCTCCTTCTGGGGTAATGCTATAGCTTCTTTTATTACATTACACTTGTGAATTTTAATTTAAATGCATGTAATATACATTAATAAGTAAATGAAAAGTAATTTTACAAATTAGGAATTGTTTCCTCTCTCCAAATATAGCTAGAGATATATTTCTTTTAGTAAGATTCATTTCTATATGAGTCTATAATGTCTTTTAAAGTAAGGTTAGAAATGTCCATTTATCCTAAAGTCTAACATCTTTTTTTTTTTTTTCCTTTTTGTCTTTTTTTACTGACCGGTAACGGGATCGCAACCCTCGGTGTTGCGCCCACACCGCGCTCAGCCAGTGAGCGGGAACCGGTCTCCACATGGGATCCGAACCCTCGGCGGGAGCGCCGCCACACTCCCAAGCGGCGCACTTCTCCAGTACGCCACCGGGCCAGCCCTAAAGTCTAACATCTTAAGGATTGATTTTGTTTTCTTATTTAAAAATAGTTAGATGACAAAATAAACCTCTAATGATTACTATTAGAGAAATCATATTCAATGTTTATTTTAGTAGAAAAATTTCTATTTACCACAGTTGTCTGAGTAGAAGTGAATTTAAACTTAAAAAGCAACAGCAAAGCCTTTATGTCTTTTTGGGCTTCTCTTCCTAATCAGTTTCTTGCCCTCTTTTCAGAGGCTACAGTTGCTTTTATTGAACCCATTAAAGGAGATGTCCAATATTAACCATCCAGATATCCGACTCAAACAATTAGAATGTGTGTTGCAGATTCTGCAGAGTCAGGGAGACAGTCTTGGGCCTGGATGGCCATTAGTACTTGGAGTCATGGGAGCAATCAGAAATGATCAAGGGTAAGTGTTAAAAATTAACATTCAAAAAGTAATAGAGGTAGAACGGGAATCCACCCTAAAATCTTGCAGTAGTGGTAATTTTTTATGTATGCTCTTCCTGCTTAAGATTAAGATCTATAATAGTTTTTCTTAACCCTACCACCTAGTGGTTATAGGGAATTTTTAGGGATTACCTTTGTTTTGGAAGGTTGGAAAAATTGCTGTTTATTTTGCATTTATAAAAGAATACAAGTTTTTTCCTTATAATGAGACAAATGAACCAATTTAACCAATTTTCTAATACATTCAAAGATTAGGCTTTGTTTTGTATTGTTAAAATAAATATTTGGTGAGACATGAAGTAGCGTTTAGGGCTTGACCTCCCTGTATATATTAGGAAGTCTAAGAAATCACTTTAAAATGACTTATTTATTTGTTTGTTTATTTATTAAAGATTTATTTTGTGCCCAGTGTATTCCCAATACTGTGCTTGCTAATTATTCTGATTACACAGATGAATAACTCCGCCCTAGAAGTAGAATCCTAGCATGGAAGAGGAGCAAGCCCTAGAAATAGAATCCTAGTAAGATAGCAGTTTGTTATACCACAAAAGAATAGGGTTCCAGTGGGAGGGGGGCAGAGCCAAAATAATGAAGGACCTTATATGCTTTTATAAGCATTTGGATTTATCCTGAATTCATTTGGGAGATATTTTAGGATTTTAAGCAGAGGAATGATATGATCAGATGTGCATTTGATATCTGTCTGGCAATTTGGGAAGGGAGGGTGGGAAATGAGCACTACAAGTGCTCTCTAGAAATAAAAGGAGATACATTTGAGCTACTTCTAACAGATTGAGTATAAAAACAACGGGAAAAATAGCAGTCAGGAATGAGTCCCAGATTTCTGATTTAGGCAGTTTAGTGGATGGTGGTATCATTACCGAAATAGAGAATACAGAAGGAAGAGCAGATTTGGAGGGAATGTGTGGACTTGTTTAATTTAGGGTAGGACATTGCAGTGGAGAGATTTAGCAGGCACTGGATATATTTGTAATTCTGCAGTAGGAGTCACATTATCTTGTTTTGATGATTAGTTTAGGAGATTAGACGATCGAGATGCTTAAGACTATTATGAAAAATTAATTTAAAAAATATTCGTATTCATAAATTTCCTTAAATACTACAAAATAGATGATTAAAGTGAACAGAGATCAGCTTAGATCAAGCTGACGTTTCTTCTCCCAATCTACAATGCAGTGATAATATAGGGCATTATTGTAAGGATGAAATGAATTAATACGTGTAAGACACTTAGAAAGTATATGACATACTAAGCAAAATAATTATTAGTTATTATAATTGTCATTTTCATTATTATTTCTTACCACCAGAATTTTTCTCTCAAGTCAAATTCTTTTTATTTTCTTCATTTGGAATTCAAAATTTATTCTTCTCATAGACTAGATATAGAATTTTATAGTCCTTTGGAGATTTAAATAAGATATAGATACAGATGAATGAGGAACACATTTTCATGCAGTGAGTAAATTGTGTGTATTTACGTGTGCTAGGCACCATGCTAGATATTGGAGATACAGTGGGGAGAAAAGTAGCTTAGCCAATTTCCCTTTCTCATTCACTCTGAGTTGTTTTTGTAAATGTAACTAAAAGTAAATGTGAAATAGAAATAATATGGTGTTAATACTTATTCTCTTCTTTTGTTAACCTACTACTTTATTTCTTATCACCTTTAAGGTCCTTTATTTTTCTTTGTTAATTTAAGTAAGCATATCTTTTTTGTATTTATGTAAATGCTGAAGTACTTGTGATCTATGTTAGGGAAGATTTTCTTGTTCAAATTCTAAAATAAAATTATTGTAAGGTATTTATTTTTACACATTACTTTTAAATGCATCCATATGCATTTCTCTTCTTTTATGTTTTCAGAGAATCCTTGATACGAACTGCATTCCAGTGTCTTCAGCTGGTTGTGACAGATTTTCTACCGACCATGCCTTGCACTTGCCTGCAGATAGTTGTAGATGTTGCAGGTAGCTTTGGACTTCACAACCAAGAACTTAATATTAGTTTAACTTCAATAGGTTTATTGGTAAGTATCATTGCCTTTCTTATGATATAATTTAGAAGTCACTGTTATGCAGTTGGAGTAAATGCTAAGCAAATATGCTTTTGGCTCTATAGGAATTGTTTAAATGACTTTTAACTACCAAACTTACATCTTGCATGAAGGACTAGATAACATCACCTAAGAATAATTCATTAATAGCAGAATATTTGGAATAATTTTGATATATGGAACTGTAGATTGGCTTTTACAAGGTTTATTGTAAGAGGATTTAATAAACTTGTTGACTTTAGTGTGAAGATTAGTTGATTTTAATTATTACTTTAGTGGCAACATTTTCGTGTACTACTTATTTAGTAAATAAAGCTTCAACAAAAGCCTTTTTATTTACATAGTCCTGTAGTCTGTCACCATAGTCAACATTGCTGTATTAGCTATTAGGAGATGGCATGTGATAGTAGAACAGTCTAGAACTCTGCAAGCAGATATTCATGTATTTTAATTGTTTCACTCTGTTAATTATTAGATATTGACCTCTTGAGTCTCATTTTACACATCTTGAATATAGAAATAACAAAATCCAACTTAGGATATTGTTAATATTATATGAAGCAAACATGCAGAGAGAGCTATTCCCAATATATATTTATTTAAAGGCAATTATTTAGAATCTTTTAAATGTATATTATAACAGAAATTTTATAAAGTCAAATTTAAATTTCCCTCACAAGCTAGATAAGTTAATATTTTACTATTCAAAATGTAACGATAGAAAAATGTAAGCATATTATATATATAATTGTTCCCAAAGTGTGGTTGGTTAGTTGAGTGTTGATTAAATTACTGCGAGATATTACCTCCTTTAGTTTGCATTTACGTATTGGATCTTCTGCATTTTTATCATTGGATAATCCTCATCGATTCACATACTTTACTGTGGTTGAGAATGAAATCATAAGATGTGTTTGGAGTTAGTAATTGCTCTTTTCTTGTATGAAATTACAAATTTATTATTAAATGATATTAAGGGATTGTTATTCGTTTTGTTAGGGTGGTAATGGTATTATAGTTATGTTTTTTATATCTAGGTGGTAGGTATATCAATATATTGAAGTTTATTATACTATTTATATATTTTTTGTATGTTCTTGAAATTTTTCATAATAAAAAGTCAAAAAAATTAGTATGAGCACAAGATTGTTTATCCAAATTCACCTGAAATCAGAGACATCGACAGAGAAGAGATGTTTTCATTCAATCTACTCTACTAGAAAAGAGATTTCTTAAGTAATTTTTTAAAGTTCTACTCTGAAAGATAAAACAATCATGTGTTGCATATTTATTTACGTGTTTAACACAAAATCTGTGAATAAAGTGATATTTTTCTACTTTGCTTTTTAGTGGAATATTTCAGATTATTTTTTCCAAAGAGGAGAAACTATTGAAAAAGAGTTAAATAAGGAAGAGGCAGCACAGCAAAAGCAGGCAGAAGAGAAAGGAGTGGTTTTGAATCGGCCGTTCCACCCCGCACCACCGTTTGATTGCTTGTGGTTATGTCTTTATGCAAAATTGGGTGAACTGTGTGTGGACCCCCGTCCTGCTGTCAGAAAGAGTGCAGGGCAAACTCTGTTTTCTACAATTGGTGCACATGGAACTTTATTACAGCATTCAACCTGGCACACTGTTATTTGGAAGGTACTATAAAATAGCTTGTGCTTTTAATTGAGACATGCTTATTTACTTTTCCAGTTAAACTTGTTCCTTTTAATTTTTAAAGAATTTATGTACATTTGTGTATTTGACAAAACGGAAAATGCTAGCTTTCTCTTATTTTAAATTTTATCCCATGCAGAACAAATTAAATATTAAAAGCCTCATCTCTCTGTTTCTGTCTTCATCTCTTTTTATCTCTGTCTTGATTATTGCCTTCTCTTTCTTTTTTTTTCCTCATATTTTCCCAGATGGTAAGACTAAGAGTTGCTAAACCACAGAGGCTAATCAGTCCTTTACAATACAGTGGAAAGCCTTTTGTTATTTTTACTTTAGAGGTCCACTTATATACATGTCATTTAAATGTAATCAAATGAGAATTTTATAAATAAAAGAATATCAACAATAATGCAGTTTACTTGCATACTTACTGAACAAAAGTAACCTCCAATTGGCAAATTGTAGATGTTCATTAATTAAACATATAGTTTCATTTTTTATCCTTTTTGAAACTTTCTCATAAAATTAACAGCTTATGAGTGAGTATTCCCTCTTTGTTATAAGTCTCTTCTTTTTTGTTTCATCCGTTTCATTTTAATAAAGTTCCATTTATAATCCTTTCACCTGCCTTTGTGAATTTTTGAGATCAGTAAGTTTGACAATAGGCAGCATAGTGAATCTTAATTGTACTTAACAATGTTTTCAATTTAATAGACCCAAAATGTTTTCTTAAAAAATTAATATGTTACCAAGTAAAAATAATTAAAAGCCTTTTTCTTTCTTTAATTTTTACTTTATTTTTTTAAATTGTAAAAGATTGTATGCATTTGTAATAAAGGCCATTTCCTTCTGTCTTCTATTTCAACTCCTTCCCCAGATCCTTCTTAAGTCACAGACATGCTTAAGTGTCTCTTACTGTTTTTTTTTTAAAAACCGATATTTTCGGGCCTGCCCGGTGGCGCACTGGAGAGTGCGCCGCTTGGGAGTGCGGCGGTGCTCCTGCCGAGGGTTCAGATCCCATGTGGAGACCGGTTCCCGCTCACTGGTTGAGCGTGGTGCGGGCGCAACACCGAGGGTTGCGATCCCGTTGCCGGTCCCCGGTACGGGCGCGACACCGAGGGTTGCGATCCCGTTATCGGTCAGTAAAAAAGACAAAAAGGAAAAAAAAAACAAAAAACCCGATATTTTCTTTGATTCTTGTTATCCTTCAAAACAGCTTCATTTTTAATCTTCTTGCTGCCTAATTCTTCATGATTTTTTTTCTTCCTCACTTCCCCTGTGGCCCCTTATACCTTCTAATTTGACTTTTAAATTATTATACTTCAGAGTCTCTTAGAGTATAACAGAATCACCTAGAGGACTTGTTGAAGCACAAATTGCTTATCCAGGAGCCACTGTCCATGCCCCTCCACCCCCCACCCCCTGCCACCTCCAAGTTTCTGATTATCTTGGCCTGGAGTGGGGCTGTAGACGTTGCATTTCTATCAGGCTCCTGGGTGATACTGATTCTGCTGGTTTGCAGAACACACTTTGAGAACCACAGAAATTGTTCATAGGCTACAGATGGTCTTCTAACTGCCAAGACCTTTGGCCTGTGTTCAGTTCTCAGTCTACTGATTTTTTGGTGGCATTTCCACTGTTATTTTATCCTTGAAATTTTCTCTTCCCCCTTGACTTGTGCTTCACAGCATGCTTTTATTCCTTTGTTTCATTTTTATTTTATTTCCTTGCTTCTGTTTCTTCCCCTGAATCTACCCTTTAAATGTAAACATTCTTCAGGTCTCAGCCACTTCTTGATTTTTTTTTTAAGCACCCTCATCTAGTCTTGGAGCTTCATTTGTAAACTCTAGATATCTCTCATATTTATACTTTTTGCCTGGACCCCTGTCCTTAGCTTTATTCTCTTCTTATACATTACCCCATAGATGCTCCTTAATAACTCAACAGTCTTGGACAATATTCTATCTAATTTACTGTAATTTTTCATATTCTGTGACCTTAATGATAAACTTAAGAATGTGTGGTTTACCTCTGCTGGTCAATTTCCTCTAATATATGGTGATCGAAAAGACTGTCAAGTGTGTTTTTGGTAACAATTCCTAATTTCCTATGCCATTACTTAAGCTATATTATCAATACTTTTTATATGACATTTTTATAAATATTTAGGTACTCTTTCATCTACTGGACAGAGTTCGAGAGTCTTCTACCACTGCAGACAAAGAGAAGATTGAGTCTGGAGGTGGGAATATTCTCATTCATCATTCAAGGGATACAGCAGAGAAGCAATGGGCTGAGACATGGGTATTAACATTAGCTGGAGTAGCAAGAATCTTCAACACTAGAAGATATTTACTGCAACCTTTAGGTATGTATATATTTTCCCTCCTGATTATTAAAGTAATTCATGTTAAAGGAAATTTGGAAAATGCAGAAGATTCTTTAAAAATTTATATGCAATGCTGTTCCCCAAGAACAATCAAATCTTAACTTACAGTCTTTGTGTTTATGTGTGGTATGTGCATGAGCATGTGCACTTTTATTCATTTTGCTGAGAAAATATTTAATTTCTACCTACTATAGGTTAGCCTTTAGGGGTTACAATGATGAGCAAAGTATATACCATCCTTACTGTCAGGGGCGTGAAGGAGGAACCATAATTACTTAAATGCAAAATTGCTACAGTGATAAGTGCAATATAGGAATGGTGCATTATGAGCTTATATTTGTGGACCTGGAAAGAAATTGAGGCACAGCTTAAACAACAAGTAATTTATTTGAACCAAATTTGAGTAACTACGGCCTTGGACACACTCTAAGTTACCTTGGGAAGTGTTCTGGAGAAACAAAGAAGTTGGGCTTATAAAGGAAAAAGACCAGTCAGAAGAGGGGGTGGTTACAAAAGTTGTTTATCTAACATTACAATTGGTACTAGCATTTTTAAGTAGTCTTGGTAGTAAGGGACTGGCAATAACAGTTGGTGAGATGGTCCTCAACTAAAAATTTTTTGGTTTGACAGGAGGTATGTAGAATAACAGTCAACAGAGGGCTGGCAGATATGTTGGTTATTATTCCTCCAGGAGGATGTGATCATTGTGATTGATTGGAAAGTTTAAAAGTTCAGGGTTTCTTTGGATGTGTTGATTGCAAGAGTTCAAGAGTTTAGGCTGCCTTTGGATGTTATAGAGTTGAGAAGTTCAGGGTATCTTCTGATGAGGCATGCCTGAAGCTCAAGCTGAAATGGTTTCCTTACTTCATTTTAGGTGAATTGTCCAGACTGGTGCCATTCTATTTCATCATAATAGATATTTGACTTGGAAAGTGAGGTCCAGATAGGCTTCTTTGAGATAGCAATATTTTACCTGAGATCTGAAGGGAAAGTAAGAGTTGATCAGGCAAGGGTATGATGAAGTGGGAGAGAGCCATATAGGCAAAGAGAACACATAGGAGAGATAGGAGAAGATTGAGGAGAGAGGGATGGTAAGGATGCTAGCATGTTTGAAGGTCTGGAATGAAGAAGAATAAGGAAAAGTGTGATTCCTGATGAGTTTGTAGGGAGACGCCAGATCATGTAGAATGTGTTCAAAAGTTAGGACTTTATCTTTAGAGCAGTGAAAGGTTTTAGTCCATGATGTGATGTGATCAGATAAGCAGTTTAAAAAGGTCACTGTGCATGGTGTGTGTAGAGTGGAATGTCAGCCAGGAAGAATGACAGGATACTGTAAGACTGGTTAAGAAGCTGTTGGTGGTATAAATCAGTGGTTCTTAAACAGGGCCAATTTTACGTCTCAGGACATCTGGCAATTCTGAAGACATTTTTCATTGTCACAGCTGGGGAGGGATAGGCACTACTGCTATATGGGGTGAAGAGGCAAAGGATAATGCTATAGATCTTACAATGTACAGGACAGCCCCCCACAACAAAGAATTATCCAACCAAAAATGTCAGTGTTACTGAGATTGCAAAACCTGGACACAGCTTATAATACTTTGATTCTGGTGGTAGTGACGGGGGTGGAAGAAAAAAGTGAACAGAGATCCTTTTATACATAGCTGTGAGCATGCTGTACATATTATTTTATTTATTTCATTTATTATTATATGTTTAGCTTTTTAAAACCTTATGTTAATGCATAAGCATATTACTCTTTCTGCAGGCATTTTTGTATGTTTTTCTTCATGTGCAGTTTTTCCTTTTTTTTTCTTTTTTCCAAAAACAAATGATTTATGGTGTCTGATCCGTTTTGCACTTTATGGCTTGATTTATATTTTTTAATCTTAGTTTGGTTTTTTTTCCCTGTAAATTTACATACAATGAAATGCATGAATTTTCATTGTGCACTTGTTGAGTTTTGACAAAATAAACATCATTTGAATACCTTCATGAAACTTATTTCATTTTAAAAGCTAAGAACTAGTAGATATAGATTTAGATTTTTTTAAATGAAGACATAAGGCAGTTCATGTAGCTTTGATAATATTTTTATAACTTGAAGACTAGAAAATGGAGTTATTTTAGTGTTTTTAATGTTACTAATAATGGTTTAATAATGGTGTGTTTTTAGTGTTATTTTAGAATAAGGTTCATATTTTTATCACAACCATGTGTAACATATAATTCTACCTACTCATTTAGAAAGGGGACTTCTTCCTAGACATAAAATATGTTAATAGAGTAATTGAACAGTTTTTTCCTCCCTACATGACACAGAATATTCTAAGGCTGAGATTAGGTCACCACTCTGGTTGGCAAATGTAACATTTCATCCGAGTTTTTAACTGGAATGGCAGCAGGCAGAAGTATTTTGTTTAACTGTTTGATAATTTTAAAATGTAATTTGTCAAATATCTTTGGATGGTTTACTTAAAAGTCTACTTAAAAATCTGTGTTTGTATTGTATGTAAATTATACCTCAATTTTTAATAAAAAGAGTGTAGAGGGGAGGATGCATTTCACAAACCAGGTGTTATAGTTTTTCTAAAGTAGGCAGAATAGTATTTATTGTTTCCTACCAGACCCACTTCTGGCTTTCTTATTAACTGAATGCTTTCTCAGGCATTTGGGTTTATCCCTTTAAAAAAAAAAAAAAATCTAGTCATTTGTAGTTTTTGTAAAGTGAAAGTTTTCAAGTCTTGATTATTTTATGTATTTCTTAGCTTGCTTAGGTTAAGTATAACATTTGGAAAGTGTAATTTCTCTGATTTTTGCATTATTTTAAGGCAAGTACAAGTATGTGGATAATAATCCATGTTATTAACAAAGCCACTGGGCTTGATTGCTACAGGAAATAGATTGTTTTTTTGAGCCTCATGGAAACAAACTATTCCAGGCAGTAGAGAGCTTCATTGTAAATGTGTTCAGTTGGTCACAGGAGTAAGGCAAGAGATTGAATTGATCAATAGAAACCAACCCTTCAGCTCATGCTCTCCTGATGGTGGATCAGTAGACTGTTTCACATGAGAGGAACAAATTCATTATAAAAGGATGGTTTATTCTTTATGGTGTATTTTTCTCCTGGTAACTCATGTATTGTTATGGGAAAAAAAAATGTTTAGGAAAATTCTGCAACTATAAAATTATTTAAATATGAAAACCAAAGTATAAAGTTACGATTTTGTGGAGTGTAACATAACAGTTTATTTTAAATATTTAGACCTATAAAAAACATGTGTCATATTGGTGTAACTTACAACTTTTCCAGTGATTTCCAATGATTAAGAATGAGAACATCTTACTTAATCATTCATAAAGGTAAACAGACAGACTGAAGATGTTACTGAAAAGCTTTGGTTTCACCCACACAGGTTTTTATTCTGTTCTCCTTAGGCAGAAGTACTAGGAAATAGTATAAACATGTATACAGATATCTGTAGAGTTTTGTTTTTAAAACCAAAACATTATTTAATATGCTCATTGTTCTGTTCTTGGTGCCCTTTGTTCCTATATCTGAAAACGTTTTTTTGCTGGATTTCTGGGTTGTGATGATTTTAATTCGAATTATTAGTACCTTAGTACTTAATCATAGTTTTTCTAGTTCTGTGGAACTTTGTGGAAAAATAAAGCGAATATGTCTTAAAGTTTCTAATATTAAGAGAACATTTGATCACTTTTATGGTAACAGATTTTTTTTTCTCTTCCTAATATAGGAGATTTTTCAAGAGCTTGGGATGTTCTCCTTGACCATATACAGTCAGCAGCACTCAGCAAAAACAATGAAGTATCTCTGGCTGCTCTGAAAAGCTTCCAGGAAATTTTACAGATTGTGTCCCCTGTCAGAGACTCAGATAAGCCTGAGACACTGCCCGTAGTTAATGTACCTGTGCCTGTCCTTATAGGATCCATATCAGGTCCTGGCCTCAGCAGGCCATTTGTGAGAACAGATTCTATTGGAGAAAGACTTGGAAGATACAGCAGCTCTGAGACACCCATAGTTACCGATGAGCTTGAAGATTTGAATCTCTGGTGGGCTGCATGGAATACCTGGTATAGAATTGGATCTGAAAGCACTAAGCCTCCTATTACTTTTGACAAACTAACTTTCATTCCCAGCCAGCCTTTTCTTACAGCTTTAATTCAGATATTTCCAGCTCTCTACCAACACATAAAAACTGGTTTCAACATGGATGACTTGCAAAAGTTGGGAATCATATTGCACAGTGCTGTTTCAGTCCCAATAAGCTCAGATGCTTCCCCTTTTATTCTTCCATCTTATACTGAAGCAGTTTTGACCAGTTTACAGGAAGCTGTACTTACAGCTTTAGATGTTCTCCAAAAGGTAATATAATTTTAGTGGCAGTCTAAGCAATAGTAATGCATATGGTTCTGTGAAATTTTTTACTTTGCTGTATATCTTGGGGGATAAATTCTGGATCAAGATTGTTCTCTATGTATACTTTGGGATAAACCCAGGATTGTCAGGATCTAGTTTTTAAAAAAAACTTGCGGTTTTCTGATATTTTCTAAAATGCCAGAAATCAATATATCAAATATCAATAATCCTGGTCTGTTTTGAGTCTTTAAGATGCTGCCTACATCTTTTGTTCCAATTCACCAGCATTGTTGGTTTGCACATGCAACTCTTCACAAGAGTATATGATATTTGGAATAGTTTTATTAAGGTACTTTCATTATTAGAAAATTAATAAACAATGTGATTATACTTGGGTATTTTTCATCTATACTTAAATTTTGCTCTGAAATTGTTGGAAACCACTATTAAAAAGGAAGAAATGTATAAAAGTATTTTGCTCACAGAAAAATTTAAAATATGTATTTTTAGCTATGTATTTTGTTATAGCAGAAAAATTATTAAACAGACCTAAAAATCATTGAGCAAATCCGGATTAGCAAGCAAGACCAGATCAAAATTAAAGTGTTTTTTAGACTATCAAGGAAATTGATAGCACAATTCACAACCATCAAAATGCTAAACAAAAAAAATGCCAGTGGAATCATAGACAGCCATTCCAACAAAGTAGCTAAGATATTCTAACAAAATTAGAGTGAAACTAGATTCTGATCACATGTGTTATGAGTAGCCATTTGTGTGATACAAATCATGTTTTTAAATTAACTGATAGTATCATATCCTACTGGAATGATAAACACTTTCATAGTAAGAATGGTGATATTTCTGCTGTACCGTGATACCTCTTAATTGCCTCTGGAGGAAGTCTAGCTGAGCAGTAATTCTTGATCTGTTTAAACCTGGTTTCATTGTGCAGGAAAAAAATTGTGGTGAAACTAAAAATTTAAGAGAATCTGTAACTTAAAAAAAATTATGTTAGGAGTATCAGTTTTCCACAATTGAAATTCAAATAGCTATTTTTATTTTCAGTTGGGAAAAAAGTAATCTATCAATAATTCCTTCCTCCCCGGATTGGGCATGCAAGAAAGTTGCTTATATACTGTCCTAGAGGGAATAGAGAAGTTATTCTGTCAGAAAAGAAAAGAAAATCATAGGCCTTTCGGGGTACCTATAATCTAGAGCTCTCATTCAGATGTTTGATTCAGGTTTTTATATACATAGGTATAGACAACAATAAACAAAGAAGAAACAACAAACCCCACTAAGTTTTTTTCAAGGAAAAAAACGTATGTAATTTTATTCTTAAAAAATTCTGCTTTAGCAATAAGAGAACAAGTGGAATCATTTATCCCAACTACTTAGAATTTGTTCTGAGCTTTTAATAGCTTTGAAAACAAAAAATACCTTCACTCTGAAACTTAGGAAGCTTTATTGTTTTTCATTTATATCAGTTGATATCATTTTTGCATTATTATTAATTTTCACTGTAGCCATTGTTTTATTACTTGTGTGAGTAAATGATGTTTCATAAACATTTACTGTGAGGTCTTTGATGAGTCTTTAGTATCTCGTAAGAGAAAAATTAATATATTTTAGTATAAGTAAGACGGTTTTTATATTTTCCTTCATGGGTGTTGGAAAATTTTTGCACAAGCAAAATTTACTTGCTTTGTGACTTATCCTTAAACTAATAGCTATTCAGCAAAACATGTTATTGATTAAAAGCTATTTTTGTTCCAAAGGAAAAACTCATTTCTAATTTCATGTTTTCTTTCTAAAAAGGAGCTTCTGTCTTGTTCTTCCTCAGTACCCTTGTATTGTTTAGGGCTTCAGGGTCATAGTCTTTTCTTGGCTTTCAAATTACTAGTTCCCAACCAAGTTGACTTAGTTATGTGTACTAATTGACTTTTTTTTTTTTAATTGCCATGTTATTTTCCCATACATGGAGAAACTGGGAATTTAATAATCTGTTCTCTGTAAGTGCTATACTAATAAGTTCTGAGGTCAGGAGACTGCATCTGACTTATTTATTGTTAACCTTCCTAAAGTCAGATGGCTAGATACCCTACCTGCCTCCATAATGAAGGATGCTGGAGTTGTACTCCAGGAGACACCATCACATTGTGTGTGAATGATGCCTTTGGAGTTGCATGATGAAGCCTGTCTTTTAGATAATATGGGCAAGTTTCATAATCTCTCTGTACTTTAGTTTCCTCATCTATAAAATAAAAATAATAAATCAATAACTTTTTGCCATTAAATGGGATATTTGTAAAGCATTTAGTGCCTGGCACGAGTTAACATTCAGTAAATGTTAGCTGTTGTTATTTTTATCATCAAGTTCTCTAGCAGCAGTCTTAGTATGTGATAGGCACTGAATGAATTATTATTAACCGAGTTAATAAGCAAAACCTTGAACCATGTCAGAAGCTAGACGTCCAATTGCTTTTCTTGTTTTCACATATACAGTTTTCAAGAACTAATAGAAATAGAACTAATATTGTCTGTATTATTATTGGTTCTCAGCTCTTGGACTAAAATTTGTATCATACTCATCCTATAAATTTTTCTGATACACAGACTTCAGAATACTGAACAAAAGCCAATAAAAACTTTTTCTTAAGTGTTGTTTGTTGTAAAAAAAAAAAAAAAGTGGGTTTTATATTATACATTTTAAGATCCCAGAATTGCTTTATAAATCAATTATAACACTATTAGTATGTTTTCTTTTTATAAAGGACGATTGAAAATCAGAATGGGTATACTTGAAGTCATTATTCTGTGCTAAGATACTTTCAAAGAAATTATGGTACTTAATTTTCTCAGATATCCAGTCAGGCTTTTTCTTTTTTTAGTCATTGAAAATAAAAGAATCTACTTAGGGTAATTCAGTCTCTTTTCCACAGTAATTACTACTTGTCTGTTTTGAAGAGGTAAGACCCAGCAAAAGGTTAATAAAGAAGAAAGTGGAACAATTGGAAGGAGTCAGTAAAAAGAATTTTTTTTAGGCTGTATAAACTTTACTATTCAAGTTCTTCATTAACTGTTTCTGAGAAAAGTAACCAAATATTGAGACATGGCATTAGAAGTCTTTATTCTACTTTTTCACATTGTAATTATAGGATGATCTAACTTAGGTATGGGTGGCACACACTTACCTACTTCCTATCTCAATGAAGTTTTATCTAAAACTTTGGTTATAGCAAAATGGCTATATCTCTGAGGGAAAATAAAATTAATCTATTATCTGATAAGTTAAAAAAGCATGGATTGCATAAAAATATAAGTTTTACACATATCTTCTTAAAGAAATTCCTAAAAATTTTCAGTGCTTTGAATTTGGCTTAGTATTTTGAAGGCATCTACACTCTCAAACATAAAGTGATCCTGCTGGTTGTTTTGTAAGCACAGTGATGTTGTAGATACTCTATAAATAATATCAGGAAATATTTTTACCATAGAGAAAAATAAACACTAAAACAAGAAGATATGAAAGGATGAGAGGAGAAAAACACACTTATGGCTAGAAAAAAATAAAAATAAAATTTAAGTATTTTAACACATTTGAAATAAATAAAACCTGAAATATCTGAATCTGCATTTTATTCTTTCTATCAAATTATATGAAGTAATGTAGAGAAACTAGCTATTCATTAAGGTGTTATTTTGTTAATTTATATAAAATTATTTTAATTTTCTTATTTTAAATCAAATCTGTATATTCAGATATGTTTTTTAATAGTCTTTAAGAAATATTTTAACATTGTACATTTTTGTGAGGTACAGTGTGTTGTTTCAATGTATGTATATCCTGTGCAATATTTCACTTAGGGTAGATAGCATAGTCTTGTACACATTAGTCCCCCACTTCTCAGACATAAAATACACATGGCCCTTTTAAAAAATTAATATATACATTTCTTTTAGAAACAAATTTTCATAAGTAACTGCAGTGCACTTGATTATTTGTTAAAGTCAGTGGACCAGACATGGTGCAGAAATGAATTGATATTGTTTAAATAGAAGCCAATGTCATCTTGATTAGTGAAGCATTCTTAATGGTCTGATGGCTGTATTACTGAACAAATGATCAGATTGTAGAACCACAGGACTGCCTGGGAGTTTTCTTGAAACGCTTACCCCTTTTCCACTCTCTTAACGAATAAATCACACTTTTTATTTAAAAACACTTTATAGCTGATTAACACGTTTTGACTATACCATATTCAATAGTAGTTAAAAATTGTTTAATGTCCTTCAGGGTTTCTAAAAGATGGTATAATACATAAAATAGGATAGTCTTTAAAATTCTTTGGGGCGTGGGGCCGGCCCAGTGGCGCACTGGATAAGTGCACCGCTTGGGAAGTGCGGCGGTGCTCCCGCCCGAGGGTTCGGATCCCACATGCAGACCGGTTCCCGCTCACTGGCTGAGCGAGGCGCGGGAGCAACGCCGAGGGTTGCAATCCCGTTGCCGGTCCCCGGTCCGGTACGGGGGCAACACTGAGGGTTGCGATCCGTTGCCGGACACGGAAAAAGCCAAAAAAAATTCTTTGGGGCGGACCCCGTGGCTCACTCGGGAGAGTGTGGCTCTGGGAGCACAGCGGTACTGGGAGTGCCGAGGCCGCGGGTTCGGATCCTATATAGGGATGGCTGGTGTGCTCACTGGCTGAGCGCGGTGCGGGCGACACCACGCCAAGGGTTGTGATCCCCTTACCGGTCACAAAAAAAAAAAAAAATAAAAATTCTTTGGCTAAACAAATGCATACATAGTGAAGAATATAATGGAGTTCAGATTACACATTCTAATGTTCGTATTTTGCTTTAATAGGCCATTTGTGTAGGACCAGAAAACATGCAGATAATGTATCCAGCTATATTTGACCAGTTGCTGGCATTTGTAGAATTTTCCTGTAAACCTCCACAGTATGGACAGCTGGAAACAAAGCACATTGCAAATGCAAAATATAATCAGGTAATTTAGTATAAATTATATTTACTCTGTAAGATTTCATGACTTATAAATAACAGTTCCGCTTAAGACAGACTTTATTATCTCAGAAAAATAATCTTTTCATTCACAAATAAACAGTTAACTTCTGTTAACAGTTTAAGCTAAACATTATTTGGGAAACCATTTCTGTGTTCCTTTTCTCCTTATTTATAACTTTTCTTTCCCAGGTGGTTCTTCAAAAAGTTTGGCCTTTCATGTTACTCCACAGTACATCTTTCTTGAAAAATGCTTCTTTGTACCTCTTTCTTAGCTGTGCCATCCCACTACAAAATGGCTTCTAAATCCCTCAGCTTAATCTTATCTAAAATAGATACGTCCATTGCAAGATGAAGAAGTCCATGTGTATTACATAAGAAGTTGTCCGCTACTGGTGTGAAATTTAGTTGGATTTTACACAGATTTCTATAGCCATAGTTGGCAAATTTTAACTTCCTTTTGGCTTAGGGGAAAAGCAAATTTCTGAATGCATGCACATGCCGATTTTGTTCACTCAACATAAAAATTATAATTTTATATTGTCCGAAAAGTAGTTTTAATATGTATTAACTTTTCTCATTCTATTTGTCTTGCAACACAATGGAATCACAATAGATCCAACTATTTGCACCGGTGAGTTAAATTTCCATAAATTGTCCTAACCTATTGGCAACAAATAAAGTACATCTTTCCCAGTTCTTGATAGAATGCTCTATGTGCTTTTTCCAATAGTTTTAATTTTTGCCTGGCTGAAATGATTTTTTCATGAAGTACATCTCTCTGAAAACTTTGCATGTAATATAATCTGACCTAAAACCAAGGCCTGAACTTTAAGACAAAGAAGCTTTCTCTTTGCAAACAATATGATTTCATTTAATCCCATTTATTTTTAACTCCATGTGAAAATATTACTTTCTAGGCGGAATGGGTAGCCTTGAATTATGTACCATTTGCTGAAAGGTCTTTAGAAGTAGTTGTGGATTTATACCAAAAAACAGCCTGTCACAAAGCAGTGGTGAATGAGAAAGTACTCCAGAATATTATTAAGGTATCTTTTTTTTTCGTTTCTACATTTTCATTTGATGATGATAGTGCTATTGAAATTACTATGTAGGTAATATGTTATCATTATATTATGATAAATGAAAAATATAATTTTTATTATTATTTATGTGACTTTTCTCCAACATCCATGAATCGTATTTAGCAAGTCATTTTTCTAAAGTATGAAAAGCTCTTTTTAATAAAAAATATTTTAAAATAAGTATACATTAGATTTGTTATAGTTCTTAAATTTTGACACATAGACAATGAGGGTTCTCCGTTTCTTAGGACAGTATTTCTCAAACTTCAAGATTGATGAGCATTCAAGGAGAAATTCACAATGCAGCCCATCAACTTAACTGGTCATGCTTACTGACTTTTTTTAAGCCAGTTCCTAAGTGTATGGATACATTTTTTATAGTTATCTCTTGTTGACTGTGTTTCATTCCTCTAAGGCTTATTTCTTGGTTTTCGCTCTGTTTTGAAGGACATACGTAAACCTTGCTCTTCCCCTAGCATGTGGATGTACCTTCTATTTACTGAATAATTACAGGTTAATATGAACTATCTTCCCCCAAGGAAGAAGGTCTTGCTCGGTTCCAAGACTCATCCCTCTCTTTGTGTCCATCCTTTCCTGTTCCTAATTTTCTTTATTGGTGATTCTTTCTTTTCTGTTCCTTTCAGCATCTTATACTTTAACCTACTAAGATGACTGAGCCTTTTATATTACAAGAACTTTATTTGAACTCTACTCAAATTGCTGTTCTCTTACAGCTTTCCTTTACTTTGAAATTCCTTTAAACAGTTGTGGCCTTCGCTTGGCCACCACTCACTGTTAACCTGTATCACGTTGGTTTATATCCATATTGCTTTACAGAAACTGCTTTCTCAAAGTTACAGAAGAGCAAATCTTCAAGTCTTAAGTCCTTTTCTAATTCTTTATCTTCCCTATAGCATGTCACTACCCTAGCCTTTTTAAAACTCTTTTTTCCCCTTGACTTCTGTGATACTTCTTTCTACCCCTCACCACTTGCCTCATCAAAACTATTCCCTCTCTCCTCATTTTTGAGTATATTTTTTAAGCATCTGTATTATCAGGTACTAACTAAATACTAGAGCTTAGAAAATGAATAGGATATTCTTAAATTTAATAGTTCAATATAGGAAATAGAAAAAGGCAAACAAGTGACAGATATAATGATGTGGGGGGGAGGAGAGTGAGAGAGGGGGTAAGAGGAGTGGGTAAAGGGACATGAAAATCAACTGCAATGTGTATTGAGAAGTTAAAATTAAAAAAAAGAAAAAGGCAAACAAATAAAGATACAGTATGTTAAGTGCTAGGTGAAGACTACAGAATGGAGGCAGCTTTGCATTTAGATAGACCTGACTTAGAATAGTACACTGCTATTTACTTGCTGCTTTATGATGTGGGGCAAATGATGCTGTCTGAGAGTGTTTCTCATCTGTAAAAGTAGGATAATACCAGTAACACTCACATGTCATAACTACAATAAAGAGAATCCATTGAGATACAGCATTTACTGATGCTTGCCAACTAATCAGTGCTAAATAAAAAGTTAGTTCTCTCCACAGACAAAAATGTAACTAAACTGCTGAGGGGATTTTGACAAGAATTAAAAGAAGTGACCCTTGAAGGAGAGTTTGCTAGGTAAAAAGGGAGAGGGAGGCATTATAGGTAAATTAAGCAGTATAAAAGATCATGATATATTTTCAAGAAATGTCAAGAAATTCAGTTTAAGGAGGTCACAGGGCCTGAAATAAGTCTGAAAAAGGCAGCTGTGGGTCTTATAAACCATCATGCAGTCAAACTTTATTCTTTAACCATTGAAGGGTTGAACACTGAGGAGTGACATGAACCAGTTTGTATTTTTAAAGGAATTAAATGACATGAATATTTATAACGAATAAAAAAATTTTAAAAAAAAAAGAATTAAATGAGTCCTTTTCTGTACTCCCGAACATTTTGTTGATGCCACTTAATGCATTGTATTGTGATTACCTGGATAGGGCTCTTCATTTCTCAAAAATTGTGAGCCTGATGACAGCAGGAACTGAATTGCCCAGTTCAGCATGCATTTACTAAGAATGTACTGTATGCCAATCCCTGTATTAGTTGCTTAAACATTTTAAAAAATAAAATGTATAAATTGAATAGATTGGCTTAGCTTAATGTTCCCTTGACTTTGTAAAATAATAATTGCAGTAGTAAACCATACTTTTATCTAAACTTGAATTGCAAAATGTTAACTCAAAACAGTCCATATATCATTTAGTGTTCTTTGGTTGCAAATGACATACATTCAGGCTCTGACAAACTTTAACAATAAAGGGAACATTTTGGCATGCATAATTGGAAAATTCAAAGAGGGAGGGCTTTAAGATTGGTTGACGTGGTGGTCCAGCAGTATCATCAAAAATCACATTTCTTTCTCTCTGTTCTGCTTTCTAAGGGTTGACTATATCCTATGTTTCTCTTCATAGTTGTGGCCAGTAACAGAATTAAGTATCCAGTAGGAAGAGAGAGTTACTTCCTACTGGATACATAATTGGATACATATTATTCTTCTTAAGTTCCTAAAATTAACTTTCAGTGGACTGGCTTTAGTCCCATACCCATTCTTGAACCAGTGATAATGGCCAGGCAAATGGAGTGGACTGATTAGCTTAATAAACTAATTATCCAAATTGCCAAATTGGAAGTGGGGACTGGTCTCCCAAAGCAAATGGGTTGGGTTATGTGGAGGTGGAGAGAAGGGAAAGGGATAGATTGTGGGTAAGCTAATTATCTATTAGTGGAGGCCCATTTTATGCTAATGCATAATGGTCCATATGTTTACTATGTGAGCATTCAGTAACACATCTTGTGTAGAAGAAGATGATGCTAGGTTTTATATCTTTGGAATATGATAATTTATCTCTTCTACTCTTTCTTTTTCTCAGACTAGAATTTTTACATAAAAGCAAAATTTTTACTCCAATGCAAATTGTCTGGTATGCCAAAATTATTTATTCATGGGACTCTGAGATAGTTCTCTATGATAGTTTGATCAGTCTAGTCATTCATTTGCTGGATAATACTATAATCAAATCCACCAAATTAGTTTTGTTAATGAATAAAAGCCACCTGTCTCAAACGCTGATAAGTTAAAAATATGTCTCAACATCTTACTCACTAAACATAGCTCAGATGCTCTGCTCTTATACCATCAATAGTCAAAGATAAAATAAATCATTTTGAATTATCAAGGTTACTGAATTCTTTGGAAAAGGAAAAAAAATATATTAGATATTAGAGTAGAGTATAAAATTCAAAGAACTTTAGAGATGATACTTAAGACTTCAAAGTAATAATATTTTAGGTTGTGTTTACTCTCCCCTAACCATTAGTGGAAAAATACAAGCAGTATTGACCTCTTTGGGATGGGAGATTTACATCAGCCAAATTACTTTCTGCTGGGAGAACTATGGCAGAATTTCCTAATTTCATAAAATCAAGTTGTGAAAAGCTGCAAAATTGTAAGTTTCCTACTTTTAATTTTTCAGATAATATCTCTGTTTTTTATGATGAAAAACAAAAGTTCAAAAAAGTTGTTACTTATTCAGGGTCATTGTTTATAACATGGAATCAGGATTTAAAAGTGTATTTTTCTAGGTAGTAGGATTTGAAGACCATGTCTGAGAATTGGTCTTACTAGAAAATAACATCCTTTTTTAAATGAAAATACCTATGCTATTATATTTTTCTCTCTGCTATAGTTGTTTTTTTTTTTTGTTTGTTTGTTTTTTTTAAAGTAAAGTTGTGTGTGTATGCTTTAATTAATACTCATCTAAAACTATTTTTATTTTCCAGACTCTTAGGGTTCCTCTCAGTTTGAAGTATTCCTGCCCTTCTGAAAGCACATGGAAACTAGCAGTATCTTCTCTCCTCAAAGTTCTTTCTATTGGGCTACCTGTTGCCCGGCAGCATGCTTCTTCTGGAAAATTTGACAGTATGTGGCCAGAACTTGCCAACACTTTTGAAGACTTTCTCTTTACTAAAAGGTCAGCTCATTCATTTTTAAAATTAAGACAATCTTTCTGTAATTGCCACATTATGTCTGCAGTTGTTCTAAAAAGTTTTTATCTTTATCCATTAACAAAGTAATTGATTATTAAGATTGTTGGATTGCATATAAAACACAACTGGATTAGGCATTTATACACTGGGTGCATTGTCTATGATTAATGGAGATATTTGTGCTTTTTGCAGTGTTTTTGGTTGTTAAATAGGAATTTTATATATAAGACCATATGAATGCATCATAATTAGAGAACCATAATTTTAATTTAATGAAACTAAGAAGATCCATTTTTTAATCTGTTACCCATTTGGCATTATAAGAGGAAAACAATTTTAGAAAATCAGTGTATTACCAGAATAAATAGGAGTAGTGGCAATGATGATTGGCCCTTTAAGATGTTTAGATTTGTAGTAGAAGAATGGAATTTTCATTGTATGATATCCAATTGGAGGCTGTGTTAAGGATGTTGTTTTGACCTCTTACTAAACTAGAGTAGGAAGACTGAAACACAGATTAAATTTTCTGTATGAGGAATTTGCTGAGGTCTGTGCAGAACTTGGCTGTCCCATATAGTAGCAGTTACTAGCTACAAATTAAAGTTTAAATTAAACTTTAAATTGATTCAACAAAATCAAAAATTCAGTTCTTCAGTCTCACTAGGCACATTTCAAGTACTCATTGCCATGTGTGTCTAGTGGCTGCCATATTGGACATTGCAGATATAGAACATTTCCATCATCACAGAAAGTTCTGTTGGGCAGCGCTGATCTAAAGTGTGCCATTTTACTGAAGATGGACTTATCTGTAATAGCTGTGATAGCCAAGTAGTCTTCAGTCCTTCTTAGCACAAGTAATTGTTTTTTGTGCTGTAGTGGTAAAATTCCATGACAACAAAGATTTTTCTACTTTGATATTCTTTAATCATTTCTTAAGCTATAGAATGATAAACATACCATGCACTGCTATATAACCATTTAAAATTAGTTTGAAACCATTTAAATTATGGATTTTATATACTTGAAGGAAAAAAAGCTACCATGGCACATTGACAGTGATCAAATTTAGTTCACAACAGAATGATATAACTGAAGAGATTCTGTTTACCATTCTAATAAGGCTTAATTATTCAGTATAGAAAATTTGTAGAATGCAGAAGGCTAACTTACATTTTTCTCTATAAATGCTTATTTGATATTTCAGAATTGGAAATAATAACAGGTGATCCCAATTTCTGTTTCTGCAAATAGTCATACTTTTGCTTTCTTATATTTGAGTTCTTTTGTAGACTTAAATCAGAGCTTAAATCACTGTTAATTTGTATCAAGCACATACATTGAGAAATTTAAACTTTTTCTTTTCTTTCCCAGTTATCTATCTGTATATGCATGCTGCCCCTATTAACAAATTGAATAAGCTTCTAGATCAGTTTTTTTGCAATGAGTGAAACTTGAGTTTCTTATTGAACATTCTTCACTTTCCAAATTTTGTTCTTGTATTATTAAATTTAGTTTTCCAAAATGCTTTTTTTATACAGGAAAGTAGACACTGGAACCAAAGGCCTAATAATAGTATTTTACATTTTATATAATTTTTTTTAATGCGGTTGTAGTAAAATTTCACTTAAAATCTTTTGCTCGGGCCGGCCCGGTGGTGCACTGCTACAGTGCGCCGCTTGGGAGCGCGGTGGCGCTCCCGCCGAGGGTTCGGATCCCACATACAGACCGGTTCCCGCTCACTGGCTGAGCGAGGTGCGGGAGCAACACCGAGGGTTGCGATCCCGTTGCCGGTCCTGGTCCGGTACGGGCGTGACACTGAGGGTTGCGATCCATTGCCGGACATGGAAATAGACAAAAAGGAAAAAAAAAAAATCTTTTGCTCAGTTATGTCCTACTTACATTAAAGGTTTGAATATTTTGAGTATGTTGAAAAATACATTGTTTAAAAAGCAACTAGCATAATGGATAGGAGTGCTGACTTAGGAATCAGACTACCGGATTTAAGTCCCAACTGTACTACCTTGTAACTGTGATACTTTAGTCAAGTTATTGATTTATTTTATTTTTATTATTTTTTTTAATTGAATCATGATTATACATATTTTGGGGAGTCAATTTGACGTATGTTGATCAAATCAATATTACCAGTATGTATACTGTTACAAATTGTACTTATTCTTTATGCCCCTTGCCCAGTCTTTCCCTATCCCCCTGTCCCTCCCCTCTCCCACCACTGATAACCCTAGATTTCTTCTGTCCCTCTGAAAGAGTAATGGTTACTCTGTTGATTTGTTGCCTAGATGATCTGTCCAATGCTGGGAGGTGGGGTATGGTCCTCAGCTGCATGCCCCGGGCTCCCTAGACAAGTTATTTAACGTCTCAGCAACTCATTTTTCTCACTAACTCATAGGGTTATTGTGAAGATTAAATCATTTAAAATACGTGAATGCTTAGAATAACACATGGCATGTGAATACTTTAAAAATTCTTGCTACCACTAATATAATTATCATTATCATTATTTCTTTTCTGTAAGAGAAAATGGCATTATTCATATCCATTCCCATGAAACAGCTATATTTTAAACCAAAATTCTAAAGATCAAAACTCTAAATAACTGAGAGTGGGAAATTGACCTCTAAATTTGTTGTTTTTAATGGCTAGAAAATAATAAAGGTTCTAAATTCTACTATCAAGTAACAGTATCAGTGTTCTAAACTGTAGTTATTGTAGTTACAGATTTAAGTCTTCTACTACATGGAGTGGTAGAAACATATCCTAGATTGAGAGTCAGGAGACCTGTGACCTAGTCTTGAGCCACCATCTACTTTCTGTTGATGTTGAGCTGCTCCTTTCCCATTACTAGGCATCACTTTCTTTATTCATAAAATGAAAGGAGATGGACTAGTTGTAAAAGTTCATGATTATTTATATATTTTGACTTAATATTTAATCAGTTTTTTTAATGAACAGCTTATATGGATAAGGCCAGTTTAGTTTTATTTCATAATTCAAAAATATGTTCAGGATCAAATCGAAAGCTTTTATTAGTCAGTTGATGGTAAAAATGTAGTGCTCACTAAGAGTGCTTTAAAACAATGCACATTTTCACAGTGTCATGAGAAGGTTTTCTCTTTTTTGTTGTTTTCCAAATAATTGCTAACTTTGGAGGTCACAACTTTTAGATTTCAAATTTTACTTTATGCCATATACATAGTGTGTTCTGTAACTAAAGTTCATTAGTAATGTTTGGGCAGTAGGAAGAGTGTTTTGGAATATTGCTTAGAATAACAAGACTTACATTTTTAGGTAATACTAATATTTGAGTATCTTTTATATTGGTACATTTATAAATTTTTTAACCTAATTAATAGCTCTAAGACTCTGAATAACCATATCCTTCTCCGTGATATTTCCCAACTTTTTTTGGTCTGCAGGCTGCTTTGGCAAGGCAATACAATAATAAAGAAAATACAAATAAGCTCAAAATCAATTAGAAGAAAAGAAAGGCTTTGGACATCATTGAGGGCTATCATAAGTAGTTTAAATAAGAAAAAAACCCCACAAAGTTGAAGAACGTGAGGACTGTAATCTGGTAGACGCTTGAGATCTATTAGAAATTCAGCCAAGCTTTGAGTACCAAAACATAGTATTTGTCCTCTAGAAGACACAATGGGCTAGTAAGAAGTCGTGCAATTAATGCTCTGTGGACCTTACATTAAAAATCACTAAGTACTACCCAAAAGAACTGAAATCACTTATTCACACAAAAACTTGTACACTGATGTTCACAGTAGCATTAGTCATAATAGGCAAAGAGTGAAAACAACCCAAATGTTCATCGCTGATTTATGGATCAATTAAAGTGGTATATTTATACAGTGGAATATTACTTAGCCATAAAAAGGAAGTACTAATGCATGCTATAACATGGATGAACCTTTAAAACATTATACCAAGTAGAAGAAACCAGACACAAAAGGCCATGTGTTGTATGATCTCCTTTATGTGATATATCCAGAACAGGCAAATCCACAGAGACAGAAAGTAGTTTGTTAGTTCCCAGGGTTAGGAGGAGGAGGGAAATGGGGAGTGACTGCTAATGGGTACAGTTTCTTTTGGGAGTGATGAAAATGTTCTGGAATTATAAATCGTAATGGTTGTATAACTTTATGAATAAAAAGCACTAAATTGTACACTTTAAAAGGGTGAATTTTATGGCATTTGAATTCTGTCTCAAAAAAATTTTAATGTACCATGAAGGGAGAACTGACAAAAAATACAAATAATACTCTTTTTTGGAGTTATGAACCTTTCAGGTTTTAGTATGTTACTCTCTTCCCTCATCAAAGATATCTTAACAATCCAGTTCAGTGCTTCTGATATATGATTCAAATAACATTAATATTATTAGTGTGTGTTCCTAAGAGGGCTTTTGTTTGTTTGTTTTTGATTGGTGGTCAGCCCATCCTTAGTTACCTTCACCATCATCACAGATCTTTTTGTATCATTACACACTTAGGTTGTAAAGTAGAATTAAACAACTTTTATCTCTAGAGATGCAGATAGGATCTGTGAAGCTGCTCTGATGGTAGTCGTCATAAAATTCCCACCAGTGGTTCAAGTTTGTGTACATGTCTTTAAATTTTTTCCTCTAGTTTCTACCACCAAATTATAGAGTTAGTTTAGGACTTGGACACCGGAATGAAGTTCCATAAGACATGGACTAAGTCTGTCTTGTTCATAGCTGGATCTTGAACACGAAGAATATAATGCCTGATGCATATTAGTTCGTACTCAGTAGATAATCTGTTGAATGAAAAATGTCAAATTCAGCCAATCCAAGATCTGGTGCCCATATAGCCCTAGATACAACACTGTGTACTATACTTCTTAACCTAAATGTGCTAATAACTATTTTTACATGTACAGCATAAACAAGGAATAATGTAGGCTCAAATTCAGATAAATCTGGGTTAAAATTGTGGCCTTGACTGTTACTTGCAGTGTGTTCTTGGGCATATTATTAGCCATTCTAAGTTTCAGTTTGTTCTTTTGATTACATGGTAATAATAATACTACATGGGATTACTGTGGGAACATATGAGATAAACACAAATAAAGCTCTTACTACAATGTCTGGCTCTCTAATTTTAGCTGTAATATCCTTTTTGTACTAATAATTGCCATCCTATTTTCAGCTGTTTTTTAATAGTTAATATTTCACTGTTTTATAAGTTTATGACCATTTTTACTGCTCATTCTTATTAGAAACCACAGAGGCTAGAAACTACCTTGGTTTTCTCAGAACTGTTGATTTCCTGTCTTCGTGCTGGAACAAGATTTTCTGTTTTAGAAAATCTGAATCAGTCTTCTTTGCAGATGTTCTCTATCTTTATTGTAAATATATTTAATACATTGTATTTATTACAAACTAATGATTAATGGGCAGTCTCTGGGTGAATAATTCAACAACTTGACCAAAGCTCTTTTAAATCACTACCAATATAAGTGAATTCAGGTATCATCACAATGATAATTTTTGCAACCTGCACATGATATAATAATCTTTATCTTTCATTATTTTTTCATTCATAGTACTGAAAGAAGTTTAGCTCTACAGATTTTATTTAGTTCAGGTTTGGGTCAAGTGTCTTTGGAGCTGGAGTTTCACGTTTGTAATTAGCTTAGTCATTTATACTAATGACTTTAATTAAAAATGTTGTTCTTTTAAATAAATGATAATATCCCAACCTGGGTGGGAAAATATTTTTTGTCATTTGAATACTGTTCATCTATTTCCTATTTGTTTTTCCAGGGACTAATTTACCTTTAAAAATCAAGTGTTTTTTATTTTTTATTTTTTAGCATACCTCCAGATAATCTCTCTATTCAAGAGTTTCAAAGAAATGAAAGTATTGATGTTGAGGTGAGAAAGCTACTTAAAACATTTTCCTGTGACCATCTGTAAAAAACAAATAATAGAAATATTGAAAATATAAAATTATGAAAAGAATAAATTAAAGTAATAGGTTGATTGAATCTGAAAGCATTAAAACTCTCACAGGTTAAAGGATGATTTTTAAAGCACTGACATTTTAAAAAATGACTTCATTAGATTTATTATAGTCTTCTACTATGTGCATGTTGTCTAGACACTTAGTCGTGTCCATTTAATAAGTTATAAAAGCAGTTGATTCAGTGAAACAAATCTGTCAGTGAGCATGTAAATCAAATGAAATAAATTATTTTAAAGTGTCTATTTAAAAAGAATAGGGATGTGTATGTGCCAGCAAAAAAAAAAAAAAAATTGGGTTCATCATATTGATAAAAATATTGCTTTTTATGCCATTACCGTATTTAAATTCTTTTGAACTTTTCTTTTTCTTTAGAGGGCAAAATAACACACTCTATGTTAGAAATAAGCTGTTTGACAAAAATGAATAAAACATTAATTTTTCTTATAACTCATAGTTTCTGGTTATAAAAAGTTCTTTAAATCTTATTCTTAATCCTATTTTGGATATTTTATTTAACATGGGTTCCATTTTTTATGCTGACTGTTTTTCTCTAGAGCACTTTGCAGTCATCATGTTGAAGATCAACATTTGTCAAAATGGTTGCATAGTAAACAATTATAATATTGACTATTTTGTAATAAAATTACCATAAGACAGATGAGGGAAACAGACTCTAGTAGTCATCCTGTATATTAACATTAAAATGTTTGTATACTCCTATCAAGGAGAGTTCTTTAACTGATTCTCTTTTAAAATAAAATTTAAATTTTATTTATTATAATTTAAATTATAATTTGAGTCAGTCTCTTTCTGGAAAAAAATGCATTTGAATTTACCCCCCCCCCCCTTTTTTTTTAGGTAGTTCAGCTTATCAGCACTGAGATACTACCTTATGCCAATTTTATTCCTAAGGAATTTGTTGGTCAGATAATGACCATGCTTAACAAGGGCTCAATACATTCTCAGTCATCTTCATTTACAGGTATGTTATTTTAATGAATTTTTTTTTTTTTTAGGTATTAGAAACAACTGAAGTTGTTTCGAAGAAACTGACAATAGAAATGTTTAATCCTATGATTGTGGTAAATGTAAATTGGAGAATGGTGAAGTAATTTTTAGAAATGTAATATAGAGGACTGGCCCATGGCTCACTTTGGGAGTGTGTGGTACTGATAACACCAAGGCCAAGGGTTTGGATTCCTATATAGTGATGGCCGGTTAGCTTGCTTGGGAGAGCATGGTACTGACAACACCAAGTCAAGGGTTAAGATCTCCTTACCAGTCATCTTTCAAAAAAAAAGAAAGAATTGTAATATAGAACATTAAGCTTTATGAGGGGAAAATGTTGTGAATATTCTGGGGATATTGTTATTTTTGCAAAACATGATAAATTAAATTGCAAAGTAGTTATGAAATCTGCTGAAGTCATTGCGGACTTACACAGGTTAGCAGTTTTGTGAAGTCATGGATTATTGGAAGGCAATATATAATAGAAAAAATGAGTGTGTATTCCTTCATTCAGTAGTTGGTTAACTTCCCTGAGTCTCAGTTTGTAATCTTTTTTTTTTTTTTTTTGTCTTTTTGTCTTTTTCCATGTCCGGCAACGGATCGCAACCCTCAGTGTTGCCCCCGTACCGGACTGGGGACCAGCAATGGGATTGCAACCCTCGGTGTTGCTCCCGCGCCTCGCTCAGCCAGTGAGCAGGAACCGGTCTGTATGTGGGATCCGAACCCTTGGGCGGGAGCGCCGCCGCGCTTCCCAAGCGGCTCACTATCCAGTGCGCCACCGGGCCGGCCCTCAGTTTGTAATCTTTAAAATAAAGATATTAGTACAAACTCTCAGGACTATAAGTTGCAGAGTTTTAGTCCATTAAAAAAAATAATAAGATGCCTTAACATTTATTAAGGGAACTAACATTTAGTGAATGCCTACTATGTACAAAATATTATGCTAGAATGTTATCTCATTCCTCACAACCTTTATATGACGATAGTTACTACCATATGAAAGAAGAGGAAATGGTTTTCGAAAAGTTTGCCCGCAATCTTAAGGCTGGAGGCCAAATTCATGCTTTAAAAGACCTACAAGGCGTCTTTTCATTATATCACGCTGCCTTATTTGGGAGCTAAGTTGCTCTTTTCTCTTATTTCCCTTTTTCAAAACCTGTACTCAAGTCTTAAGTGTAATTGTGGCTTCATAATATGTTTTTCTGGTGAGAGGAAAAATAATTGTATATTTGTGCCATACATATGTTCCATCATCAGATTTTGCTGTAGCCGTGCATAACCGACTTCTATTTTGTGTTGAGCTCTTAAAAAGCATTTATGTGCACAGTTTGACCACTAGATGTCTCTAACACTGCTTGTTTCACGAACCAGTTCTTTTTTCCTAACACAGAAAGTTTTAAAAACTGGACTGGTAAAGAGCAGGTTTTGACGAACATGAGAATCTCAGAGAAGAAAATTTAAAACTACTTATCTTATACTTAAGAGTATATAAATAATTTCTGGATAATTTTTAATAAAACACATTAAAGACAATATTTACAATTAAGTATAAATATCCTAAGCTAAATAAGGGTTAATGAGTTACCAAATATGCTTTTTCTAGCAATTTTCTGTTAATATGTCTTGCTATTTATAGTATTAAATGTAGTACCAAGACAGGAAAGGTGCATGGACATTCTTCCAGTGACTTTGCCATAGGACACAGATGTCTTCTCACCTTTAACCTGGAGTTTTCTTTGAACATATTCATATAAAGTCATTCTTTGCTAAACAAAACCAACCTATAAACACAGAAGTTCCAGTGATCATTTTGTCCCCCCACTCTTCAGTGTGATCTGACACCAAAGCTCACAGACATTTGAAGAAATCCTCCAACATGAAAAAGAAAGACCAAAACAAATGAAGGGGGATTAAAACAAACTGGGAGAAAACAAAAAATGCAGAGCTGTAGAAAACATAAAACTGCAGTTATAATTAGGATGGTCAAAGGAATAAAAGATTTTACACCCATGAAACAAGAAAATATGCTATAAAAAAGGAATGAGAACAATAAAAAACTCATAGAAACTAAAAATAGGATAGCCAAAATAACAAGTTCAATGAAGGGTTAGAAGAAAACATTAAGGGAACAATCCAAAAAGTAAAGTAAAAACAAAAAGTGGACAATATGAGAACAAATAAATGAATCCAGGGGGTCTGTCATCTGACAATATGCCTTCCAGAGAGAACAAAGAAAATCTAGGAGAGGCAATTATCAAAGAATTAACTGAAGAACTGAAGAAATAAACCTTCAGATTAAAAATGGTCACTCAGACTTATCATCAGAGAACTGCAAGTCAAAAACACAATGAGATATCATCTCACCCCAGTTAAAATGGCCATTATCAAAAAGACAGAAAAATAACAAGTGCTGGTGAAGATACAGAGAAAGGGGAACTCTTGTACACTGTTGGTGGGGATGTGAACTAGTACAGCCATTATGGAAAACAGTATGGAGGTTCCTAAAAAAACCTAAAAATAGAAATACCATATGATGGACCGGCCCGGTGGCACACTGCGCTAGTGCGCCGCTTGGGAAGTGCGGAGGCGCTCCCGCCGAGGGTTCGGATCCCACATACAGACCGGTTCCCGCTCACTGGCTGAGTGAGGCGCGGGGGCAACACCGAGGGTTGCAATCCCGTTGCCGGTCCCGGTCCGGTACGGGGGCAACACTGAGGGTTGCGATCCGTTGCCGGACACGGAAAAAGACAAAACAAAAAAAAAAAAAGAAATACCATATGATTCATCAATCCTACTGCTGGGTATCTATCCAAAGGAAAGAAAATCAGTATATCAAAGTGATATGTGCACCCTTATGATTATTGCAACACTATTTTCAATAGCCAAGATGTGGAAACAACCCAAGTGTCCATCAATGGATAAATAAATGGATTAAGAAAATGTGGTACATGGACCATGAAATATTATTCAGCTATTAAAAAAAGTATGAAATCCTGTCATTTGCACAAATAGATAAGCTTAGAAGACATTATTTTAAGTGAAATAAGCCAGGCACAGAAAGAGAAATATCGCATGTTCTCACTCATATGTAGGAGCTAAAAAATAGTTCATCTCATGGAGGTTGAGAGTAGAATAGTGGTTACCAGAGGCTGGGAAGGGTAGGAGGGAAGATGAAGGAAGGTTGGTTAATCAGTACAAAAATACAATTTAATAGAAGGAATAAGTTCTAGTGTTCAAGAGCACAGTAAGGTGTCCATGGCTAATGATAATTTATTATATATTTCAAAGCAGCTAGAAGACAAGATTTGGAATGTTTCTAACACAAAGTAATTATAAATGTATGAGGTGATAGATAGTCCAGTTACACATTTTGTGATCATTACACATTTTGTACATGTCTCAAATTATTACATGTACCCTATAAATAAGTACAATTATTACATAGCAGTAAAAAATTTTTTTAAATAAAAAATAAAAATGGTCACTCAGTACTCAAAACAGTGAAAGAAAAAAGATCCACAATAAGGCATATCATCATGAAATACCAAAATACCTGGGATAAAGAGAAGATTCTAAAGATTTCAGGGGAAAAAAAAAATCTCTACACAAAAGAGTTGTATCACAATGACATTGGAACTCTAAGTAACATGCTAAAAGACATTGAAGCAATGATTTTAGAGTTGTATATGGAAAGGATTTTTAACATGGAGTTTCATACCCACGCACAGGAGAACAGTAATACTCAAATTTCAAATGATTGCTGAGCTGTGCCCTCAGAGTTTCTGATTTAATAAGACTGGGTCGGGTATGGGAAATCACATTTCTAACAAGTTCTCTGGTGATGCTGCTGCTGCTGCTGGGAACCACACTTTGAATATCACTGTAAAATAATGACATTTTCAGAGATATAGAGTCTAAAAAATTTTACTTCACATTCATTCTTTCTTGGGAAGCTACTTTAGAAAATGCTCCATGAAAACAAAGGAGTAAACCAAGAAAAGGGAAGACGAGATCTAGGAAGTGAGATCTAACACAAGAGAGAATGGAAACAATTCCCAGGGTGATGGTGGAGACTAGTTCCAGGATATAGGGGACAGCATGACTAGAGAGTGATTAGTCAGGACTGGAGGAGAGGTTGTGTTCCAGGAAAGATGTTGTTCGGAGAGGGGAATAAAAGAGATTATATCAAGTTTGGATGGTAAAAAACTATTGAGAAGTATTTTATAGTGTTGTCGAAGGGTCTTGAAAGACCAAGACCAGAAAAATGTTGAATAGAAGTGATGAAGGTAGACAGTCTTGCCTTGTTTTTGATCTCGTAAGGGAGAAAACTGTTCATTATCTCACTTTGCTATAGTTTGTACATAAATGCCTTTCATCAGATTGAGGAATTTCCTTCTATTCCCTGTTTGTTAAGAGTTGTTATCATTAAGGCACATTGATTTAACCTTTAACTAACCATCAAAAATTGTTAATTTTACAGAGGCAGAAATTGATATTCGTTTGAGAGAAGAATTTTCTAAAATGTGTTTTGAAACGTTGCTCCAGTTTTCCTTCAGTAATAAAGTCACAACACCTCAGGAAGGCTACATCTCTCGAATGGCACTCTCAGTGCTTTTAAAGAGATCCCAAGATGTACTACATCGTTATATAGAGGATGAAAGATTAAGTGGTAAATGCCCTCTTCCAAGGTATATATTTTATTTTACTAAAGAAGGAAATGCACTGACATAATTATTAATAACAAAGAAAGCTCTGAAAGCAAGTATTTTCATTAAGTGACTAAACTAACCTGAGACTTTTCATAATTTTATTTATCCCATAGTGTAAATATTCATAGGTTTTGCTATGGATATATTAATGTGTTTTATTATGGGATGATAATAGACTCCTCATGGAGATTAAGTAATGTATGATATATGTACCAAATTATCTTTTTAATCTGGAAAAAAATTTTGAATTCTAAAATATACCATCTCGCAAAGACTTCTGGATAAGGACTTGTAGATCTGTATGAGCATGTGATATTATTTCTATAGAGTGAAAATAATAGATAAATCATATTCTGGGAACATCCTGATTTGTTTTACAGTCATTTCTAGGTTTCTCTATATGTCAGCTAGCCATATCTTAGATCTTCTTTTTTTTAATGTGGAAATTAGAGTTTAAAGCAAAATAAATGAAGCAAACAAAATAATATGGGAAGACAAAGTCATCAAAGTCAGGAAAGAGGAAAGTCATTGTTGTTCCCATCTCATAAGGTTGTATTGGAGAGGCAAATCACTTGCCTTAAATCATGGTGCACATTCTTCTTTACTTATAATAAATTTCTGGAATTGGAATTGACCTGTCAAAAGATGCAGGCATTTTAAAGCTTTTAATATGTGTTACCAAATCTCTTACTGGGATTTGTAACAATTTACATTCTCCCAGGAGTATATGAATGCCCCTTTCCTCAGTTTTTAGTACTTTTAAGTTAATTGCCAGTTTCATTTATTTTATTTTTTTTCTAATTTGATGAATGAAAAATAATAACATAGTAGTTTGCCTTTTAAAAAATTACCAGTGTTTATTAGCCATTTGTATTTCTTCTTTTAAAATCCATTGTATTTTAAATTTCTAGAACATACTCAAATTTATATACAAAAACATTCCACAGATGTTAGTGATTTGATTATGGGAATGATTGAAAATTAATTAATCAAAATTGATTTCTGAAGTATACTTGGGAATGCAGTAATACAGTTGCTTTGAGTGGAATGTTTTTATTTATTGGATTATAACATATTGTTTGACTTCAGAAAGCAAATTTTCCTTCACTTTATGTTCTAAGTATTTACTCAACTACTGCCTTTAAATTGAACCTTATTTATAATTATTTTATGAAATTATATTGTATCATCCTTTGTTTCTTGCAGTATGATTAAATTGTTTCCTACAAAGCTGCATCTTAACACAATAAAATACTCCTACGCTTACAAAAAGGAAGGCTTGAATTAGTACCCTGAGATTGTATTAGAATAGTCCTATCTGTAGAACAACACATGGGGGACTATAGAGAAGGGCTTTATTTCTGTCTGGAGAAAGAAGTGAACCAAGATACTCTTGTTGATCCTTTACTCCAAGTTCATTCTTCATCGCTGATGTCTCCAAATACTGCCACCTTAGGATTGTTTTGAGCATGTTTCTTGTTCGTCGTATTAGAAAGTTAAATAAGTACCATTGTAATTTTGAATGTACTTTTAACAGTATGGTAAAATATGTGACAGGTAATAATAGTAGTTTTGTTTCTACTTAAGCTTCAGCAAATTTCTTTTAGTACTGATTAGTTTAAAAGAACAACCAGCAATCTTTTGTGGAGAAGTTTTAAAAGCATATATTATAAAATGTTTCAATTTAAGGTAGCTGAGTGGAATATCTCACAAATAAATGTAAATTTGCATGAGTAGATTGTCTCCTTTTCCCTTTTTAATTGGTAGGTTATGGTAAGAATAACTATAAATCTGATTTGCACATTGAAGTACATATTATATAATGATTTTTCCTTTAATAAGAATTTAAAACAAACATTAACTTTGCATTGTATTGTCTTCAGTATTTTTCTAAAATACATTTGTACATTTGTACAAACCTAGTAAAAAATACACATGGCATATTTTAAATTATATCTTGATGGAAATAATTTCCCATCTCTTTTTTAGGCAACAAGTAACAGAAATCATATTTGTTTTAAAAGCAGTCAGTACTCTCATTGATTCACTTAAGAAAACTCAGCCTGAGAATGGTAAGTGCTTAGACTCAGTTATTCTAAACTCATAATATTTATGTTTTATTAGTGATTGCTTTTTTATTATTTTGAGTTAACTGAATTTTAGGAACATAACAGCCATTAGACTTTCTTTTTCCCAGATCTTATGACAGCAAAGTGTCAAGTCCATGAAGATGTCAATTAAGTAAAATTAATTTGTAATGTTTTATCATCCTTATGTGAAACAACACTTTAGCTGACTTTCTTTCCCCCTACTAAATTGGTCTGAATTCAGAGTGTTGCATGGACAATTCATATTTTATATATTTTTAATGCAGAGGATCACTGACTTTTGGGGGGCAAGGTAGGGGAAGTCTTTCCTCTTCTATTTGTACTGGTTTACTTTATAGATATAAACTGTATAAATAACTTTGAATCATTTTTATAGTTCTTTTACATCTGTTTTCCTTTTCTGTTACTCATTTCTGTCCAATCCTTTCTTTACATTATTGCTAGAGATGATTTTTCTAAAGCAAAGCTTTGATGATTCATTTCCCCCAATCCCCTCAAAAGAAAACAAAAAACTCTTTTTTCTTATACCATAACCTACCACATTGCAAAGAGTACTACAGTCTGACTCCATTCTATTCATGCTTTATTTCCCACTACACTTTATTTACCCTACTCTCCTGCTAAACTAAAATTTTCATTCTTCCCAAGCATTTCCAATTTTTTGCTTATTTCATTCTCCTGCTATATCCACTTAGTTCAAATGCTTCCCCACTTTTTTTTTTTTTTTTTAAGAAAAGATGACCAGTAAGGGGATCTTAACCCTCAACTTGGTGTTGTCAGCACCACACTCTCCTAACGGGGCTAACTGGCCATCCCTATATAGGGATCCGAACCTTTGGCCTTGGTGTTATCAGCACCACACTCTCCCGAGTGAGCCACGGGCCGGCCCTGTGAAAAGAGTTTTAAAACAGGGCTTAAAAGTAGGGAAGCAAGGGCCGGCCTGTGGCTCACTTGGGAGAGTGTGGTGCTGATAACAACAAGGCCAAAGGTTTGGATCCCTATATGGGGATGGCCAGTTCGCTCACTTGGGAGAGCACGGTGCTGACAACACCAAGTCAAAGGTTAAGATCCCCTTACTGGTCATCTTTTTAAAATAAATAAATAAATAAATAAATAAAAATAAAACTCTTTCACTGAACTCATAGCACTTTTATATGTACCTTTGCCTTGAAGCACTCTTTATGTATTACAGTTGTACATATACATGATTCACTTCCCCTTACGTTGTAAGCTTCCTGAGAGGCTTTTTGGACCATGTTTTGTTCTATTTGAATCTTCTACAATATCACTTCTCAAAGTGTGGTTGGTAGACCAGCACTAGTCTTAAGAGTTTTTTATTGGTCCAGGACAAGATAGAGCTGGTACCAGAATATAAATCAATTTTGTCACTAAACGTGCTGCTTGGTTCAGCTGACATTTTTTATGCGACAAGACTGAAGAAAGCAGTGTGTTGATTTACATTCTGATACAAGCTTCTTATTTTGTAGCAGACTACCACTTTAAGCAGCATTACTTTTAATGCCCAAGAAAAAAGGAGATTCCTACTAAATGAATAATAAATGAGTCACAGAATATTTGTTCCTGTCAGCTATTATATAAGTAAAGTAAATACATATTTTTTTGTGTTCAAAATCCACATTGGTATTTTAGCCTAGAAAGGGTATTACTAAATTGTAAGAAGCAGTACACTTGTATTTATTCAACCCAAAGGGAGGGGTCGAATTTCGAAGAAAAAGCCTGGAGTAATGTCCTGAATTTCATCCCATCAGAGTTCAGATTTGCATTTTCTTAAAAAAAGTTCTGGTTGATTTTTCAGGGAGGGAAGCCATGCCATTTACTTCTTAGAGATGAGTAAAGTCTTGATTAGATCACAGGATAGAAATTTTTTTTTTTTTTCCTTTTTGTCTTTTTTTGTGACCGGCAACGGATCGCAACCCTCAGTGTCGCGCCCGTACCAGACCAGGACCGGCAACGGGATCGCAACCCTTGGTGTTGCTCCCGCACCTCGCTCAGCCAGTGAGCGGGAACCGGTCTGTATGTGGGATCCGAACCCTTGGGCGGGAGCGCCGCCGCGCTTCCCAAGCGGCGCACTGTAGCAGTGCGCCACCAGGCCGGCCCCACAGGATAGAATTTAATTCTTAAAAATGTATTATACTTAAGACATAAACAGAAGATTATTTTCCATGTTATTGCCATAGATATACTAAATGTAATCAGTGTATTTAAATACGTAATACTTTCATTAGTTTGTATGATCTTTAGACAGCTGTCAAGAATTTAACTAGAGTGCGTATAAAGGGAGAAAAGGGAAAGAAAACTCAACTTTTTTTTTTTTTACAAAGCCAATGGGCCATGAATAAGGCTAACAAAATGTTAAAAGTTGTTTAAGAGAGTTTGAATTATATGCATTGGGGCATATGAAGTGAAAATTTAAATTAAATGTAACTATAAATGATGATAATGATATTATAAAATGTTAGAAAGGTATGAATAGCTTTTACTTAGCCAGGCCTTTCCAGCAGAAACGTGTTGGATTGCTCATAACCAGTCCAAGCCTAATTCAGATTGGCTATGAAGTTTAGAACCAATATACCCCAAATCCTCTAGAACTTTTATTGTTTTAGGGTTTTTAAGTGGGAGAGGAGGCATTTGTTGTACTTATTTTTTTGTTTGGGGGGATTTTTAAAATTTTACTTGATTTTTATTTAAAATTTTGAATAGGTAGTATGCATACACATGGTTCAAAACTCTGAAAATTTGAAAAGATATACAGGGAAAATTTTTATATGATCTTTCCCCTATTCTGTATCTGCCCAGTTCCTACCTCACCACAGGCAACTATTTTTATTAGTTCATGGATTCTTCTAGAAGTTTATTATGTAAATACAAAATACATATTCCAGCACTCCCCAGTTTTATACAAAAATCAATCTGCATAATATTTTCATGTCATACCTACTATTCTGACCCTCCTTTCCCACCCCCCATCCCCCCAT